TATGTTATTGTTTTATTCCAAGGAGCGTATAACCACTTCGAGGAGGAGGAGTTTGGGGCCATTTCCCCCCCCCCTCCCCCTCCCCAGCCTCTCTACTGGAGAGAGGGGGGGAGGGGGGGAGGGGGAGTGTAAACAAACCATCGACAGGCATAAGTGGCCCCCTATCGTGCCTCGCCTTTGATGTGGCATCATTGAAAAATCTGTTTCAGGCTTTGATGTGTCCTGTCGATGCCCGCTCGTCGGAGAGGAGGGGGAGGGGGGGGGGTGAGGGAAGGTAAATGGGAGGGAATGGGGAGGGAAGGAAGAATGGGGGGGAGGGAAGAGAGGGGGGTGAAAGGAAATTGGGAGGGAAGGGAACTGAAAATTTAAGGATGCTGCAGGGTTGAGAGGAAAGATGGAGATTTAGGGAGAGTGACGGGAGAAAGGGGGGATGGAAGGGGGATTAGAGGGAGGGGAGACAGAGGCAGGGAGGGAGGACAGAGGCGGGGAGGGAAGACAGAGGCAGGGAGGGAGGACAGAGGCAGGGAGGGAGGAGAGAGGCAGGGAGGGAGGACAGAGGCAGGGAGGGAAGACAGAGGCAGGGAGGGAAGACAGAGGCAGGGAGGGAAGACAGAGGCGGGGAGGGAAGACAGAGGCAGGGAGGGAAGACAGAGGCAGGGAAGGAAGATAGAGGCAGGGAGGGAAGACAGAGGCAGGGAGGGAAGACAGAGGCAGGGAGGGAGGACAGAGGCAGGGAGGGAGGACAGAGGCGGGGAGGGAAGACAGAGGCAGGGAGGGAAGACAGTGGCAGGGAGGGAAGACAGAGGCAGAGAGGGAAGACAGAGGCAGGGAGGGAAGACAGAGGCAGGGAGGGAAGACAGAGGCAGGGAGGGAAGACAGAGGCAGAGAGGGAAGACAGAGGCAGGGAGGGAAGACAGAGGCAGGGAGGGAGGACAGAGGCGGGGAGGGAAGACAGAGACAGGGAGGGAAGACAGAGGCAGGGAGGGAGGACAGAGGCAGGGAGGGTGGACAGAAGCAGCTAAGGAAAGGGAAAGACGAGTGGTAAAGAAGGACATTGTCACAAAATATTGGTGGACAAGAGAGCCAACAAGATGGTGAGAGGCAGTGACAACACTGGCCCCGAGGAGGACGGAGTGCCTCATGGCCCCGAGGAGGACGGAGTGCCTCATGGCCCCGAGGAGGACGGAGTGCCTCATGGCCCCGAGGAGGACGGAGTGCCTCATGGCCCCGAGGAGGACGGAGTGCCTCATGGCCCCGAGGAGGACGGAGTGCCTCATGGCCCCGAGGAGGACGGAGTGCCTCATGGCCCCGAGGAGGACGGAGTGCCTCATGGCCCCGAGGAGGACGGAGTGCCTCATGGTGCCTCAATAAGCGAACTTAAAGGCACTATAAACCCCCCACATACAGCAACTCCGCTTACAGTGAACACCGTCATATATTACCCACAACAATCATTTTCTCTTCAGGAACAGAACGTGTTGAACCATGACCTCAACGGCCGACTAATCACCTCATTAAACTTAACAACAACTTGGTAGATTTGCGCCGAGGCTCAAGAGTCCCGGACTCGTCCAGCATTCACGAAACCTCTACATCTTCCCCTCAAATATGGCGGCTTTGTTTACATGTATCAAACAGTTTATGACCACCACTGCGAGTTTGTTTGTAACAATAATAACTTTGGGTTGTGAAGTGTCCAAGCTCGTAAACTATTTACATGTAAACAAAGCCGCTTAGATTAAGGAAAGATATACGGGTTTCGTCAGTGGTTGATATATCCTGGCGCCCGGGGAGGGGAAATACTAGTATCTTGCCCTCTGGTTACTCAGTCTGGCCTCCACCATCACCTCCACCACCACAGGCTGGCCTCCACCACCACAGTCTGGCCTCCACCATCACCTCCACCACCACAGTCTGGCCTCCACCACCACCTCCACCACCACAGTCTGGCCTCCACCACCACAGTCTGGCCTCCACCACCACAGTCTGGCCTCCACCATCAACCGTTCAGCTTCAAAACTCGACTGATCAACTTTCCCAATTAGTGCAGTGGGGGATAATGACGTCACATCACGATTTAAAGTGCTGGCCCGAGCAGGCCATTTTTTCCTTAGTATCCCCGTGAAAGAGAGAGAATGTGTCAGGGAAAAAAGAGAGAGAATGCTTCAGAAAGGAAAAAAATGGAGGGGGTACCTGCTTGCGTCAGCTGGTGTGTGTTTGGTGACCTGAAATGCTTATAGAATGTGGCCGTGTCACACCCTGTATGACTCGGGTTAGGGGGGAGGGGGGGAGAAGCTAGCTGGGACCAAAACACAGGAGCTGGGACCAGTACACAGGAGCTGGGACCAGTACACAGGAGCTGGGACCAGTACACAGGAGCTGGGACCAGTACACAGGAGCTGGGACCAGTACACAGGAGCTGGGACCAGTACACAGGAGCTGGGACCAGTACACAGGAGCTGGGACCAGTACACAGGAGCTGGGACCAGTACACAGGAGCTGGGACCAGTACACAGGAGCTGGGACCAGTACACAGGAGCTGGGACCAGTACACAGGAGTTGGGACCCACATATTGGTGTTGGGATCAATTCATCCGACACAACTCAACAGCTGACATACATTTGTCCATTAGCGCCTTCAGGCTAAGTCTCGCTTCCTCCATGTTCGAGTTTCCTGTTCGATCCAATTTCCCATTAACTTGATGGAGAGAGAGAGAGAGAGAGAGAGAGAGAGAGAGAGAGAGAGAGAGAGAGAGAGAGAGAGAGCAGCAGCAGCAGCTGGAATACGTGTGTATTATACAAAGCAAGATTGACAGCCACACCACTAAGAGCCTCCACCACACCTCACTGCACTAAGGCTCTCAATAACTCTTACAAACCCAACACAAACAGAACATCCACCGAAGCTGAAAATCCACCGACGTTGAGAAGTAGCGACTTATTTGCAGTTCTTTAATGCAATATAACACATTTCAGAGTGGGATTTACAACCACCACTGACACGAATCTTACAAAAAAATTACAAAAACACACGCGTAACCAACCAAAAACAGCAACCAAACTACCCCCCCCCCCCCCACATACACGATCATGAAAAACCCAGCAGAAACCAGCTTCAAAACAAGCACGAATTGCCAGTTAGATCGTTAGGATATACGATCGTTAGAACTCCTCATTGGAGGAGAATATACGGTCGTTAGAACTCCTCATTAGAGGAGAATATACGGTCGTTAGAATTCCTCATTAGAGGAGAATATACGGTCGTTAGAACTCCTCATTAGAGGAGAATATACGGTCGTTAGAATTCCTCATTAGAGGAGAATATACGATCGTTAGAACTCCGCTCACGAAGCCACTAACCCTCATCTCTCCCCTCAGGTTGGACTTGAGAGAAGGCGGAGAGAAGGAGGAGTTCGTGGACCCGGCCATGGAAGGTAGGGTCAGGTCGGACGTTAAGGCTGCCTACTTGACCCTTGACCCCCTGCAAGGTCACGACTCCGGAAGGTACAGGTGCCGGGTGGATTTCAAGGTCTCCCCGACCTTGTTCGCGCTGGTAAACCTTACCGTCTATGGTATGTAGAAATAGTTTACCTTTTGGTATATAGTTTGAAGGCTTGGGTTAACCCGATTCTAGGATTCCTGTTTGCTTCGTGTGTGTGTGTGTGTGTGTGTGTGTGTGTGTGTGTGTGTGTGTGTGTGTGTGTGTGTGTGTGTGTATGTGTGTGTGTGTGTGTGTGTGTGTGTGTGTGTGTGTGTGTGTGTGTGTGTGTGTGTGTGTGTGTGTGTGTGTGTGTGTGTGTGTGTTCCATTATCATGACAATACTGCTGTTTTTTCCCATTAGAACTTAGCTCTCTCTATTTCCCGTTCTCTCTCTATACTAATTTTGTTTTCACTTAAGAGACATGTTTATCGTGTATGTAGCAGAGTACAATGTGTATATTATTTATGTGTATTGTGTATACCTAAAGGACCACTCATTGCATACATCGTGTATACGTAATGTGTATAGCATACATGATTGTGTCTTCAGAACTGCTAGGCTCATATACATTTTGTTATCGGAAAAATCACACTATTTTTTAATATGCTGGTCCTCTGTACCTGTTTTACCCTGTGAATCTGGGTAGACAATTTATGTTTACCCAGATTTAGAAGGTAAGGGTGTAGAGATGAGAGAGAGAGAGAGACAGAGAGAGAGAGAGAGAGAGAGAGAGAGAGAGAGAGAGAGAGAGAGAGAGAGGTGTGGGGCTCTTTCATTTTGGCATTTAGCTCCTGGGCCAGGCTCACAAGAATCTTTGTGGCTGTATGGCAGCAGGTTCTCCATATGTCAATGGTTTCACACGGCCTCCTGTGTTGCCCGGTGCGCAAGTCCTAGCGAACTGAAGAGCAAATGTCCCATCGAACTCAGATCGGGTGCGGGAGTGACTTCCAGGCCATCGCCCACATGATACATACCCTCAAAAGTGATCAGTATTATGTGTATGTCTCTCTCTCTCTCTCTGTCTCTGTCTCTCTCTCTCTCTCTCTCTCTCTCTCTCTCTCTCTCTCTCTCTCTCTCTCTCTCTCTCTCTCTCTCTCTCTCTCTCTCTCTCTCTCTCTCTCTCTCTGAGAAACTGCTGCCAGTTTCCAGCATGCTCATGCCTCGTGGCACTAGCTCTTGTCCTCTTCTTCCCTCAGTTGTCCCGTCTCGCCTGGTGGTGTTGGACCAACACAGCCGGCCAGTTCCATCCGGCCTCCTGGGTCCCCTTACAGAGGGCGATCCCCTCACCCTTCTCTGCGTCGCCACAGGAGGTGAGAAGGGCAGGGGAAGGCGGGAGAATGTGAGTAGTGTGATAAGTGACCCTCTCACTTCTCCTCTGTGTCCCCACGAGAGGTATGAACAGTAGGGAAGACAGGATAGTGAACGTGGCAAATGTCCCCCTCAAATTCCACTAGAAATGCAGGCGATGAATCACAATAACGTGGCTGAAGAATGTTGACCAGACCACACACTAGAAGGTGAAGGGACGACGATTGATTGATTGTTACCGCCGAAGGCGGCTAGTTTATTGTGCACCCCATACTCATCCTGTGAGCGGTAGCGCAAAAGCATTACAGAGGGCACAAAAGGTCTTTATCAGACCTCATCTTAGATTATTACATAAACAATTTCACCTATCCTTCACACCTTATCGTTACACGACATTTCGGTTCGTCCTGGACCATTCTCAAGTCGATTGTGAATGGTCCAGGACGGACTGAAACGTCGTCGTCCCTTCACCTTCCAGTGTGTGGTCTGTTTCCACTGTAAATCTTGACAATTAAATTATGCCTATTTTTGTTCTATTATATGTGGTATAAATGTTGGTAGGAGAGGATTTGTAACGTAATCACGACTTGATAAACGAGTCACTTAAAAGTCCTTCAACTTAGGTCTGGAAGAATAGGAAACATTAGGAGTAATTAAGAAAAAAGGCGCTAACGATTCCAAAGTTCCGAAAAGGTCGAGTCTCCTAAACGGTGAGTAATTTCCCAATAGGATTGGTCTTGCTCCAAAAGGTTGAGCCATTTTACAAAAAGGTTGGTTCATTGTTTACAAAATCCGTAAGAACGAATCCATTTCCTGAAAGACAAGTTAACTTCCCAAAGGAATGAGTCAATTTCCAAAAGGATTTGAGTAATTTTCCAATAGGATTAGTCAATCTTTGAGGTTTAGAGAAAGATTACTTTCTCTAATCTCTCTCTCCTGCGAGAGATTAGAGAATCTCTCTCTCCTGCGGATTAGAGAAAGATTACTTTTTCTAATCCGCAGTGATTAGAGAAAGTAGGATTTTTACAGTAAATAGATCTTTTTAGCCAGGGGGAAAAAGGATTACTCCCAGATCAATACAACTTGCTAAGTTGTGTTGACCAATACAACACAGGCCAATACAACTTGCTGAGTAAGATGTCCTCTGACACCTTACCACTGTATGCATTCTTCAGTAAAGTTATTAACAGATTAGGTTAGTTAGGGCTTTTAACGGGCTTCCCATTCATGGGGAAACTCATGCATTCCCAGGCAGCAACCACATAAGGAAGCCTCATAGCGTCTCTTTTCAACGTTATTACTTTCTTATAAAGTAATAATACTTTCTTGTAAGGTTTTAAAAGGGAAAAATAACATTGAGTGTTTGTCAAAATTTAAATGAAAGTTTTAGAATATGTTCTAAAAGTGGATATCAAGTTAAGTTTCTCTCAGTGTTTCTGCCCGAAACGCTGCGCGTGCTAGTGGCTTTACAAGACTGTAATTACCATAATTGTATCCTCACATTCCTTATGTACATTCTTGTATATGCATAAATAAATAAATAAATAAATAAATAAATAAATAAATAAATAAAGTGTAAATTGAATAAAATAATTTCCCGCCATTAGGTCGGCCGGCGCCGGAAGTGACGTGGTGGCGCGGGACAACTCTCCTGAGCAACAGCAGTAGCAGCAGCAGCCACATCCTGAGCCACAACGGGTCCCCCAGCCGGCCGGCACCCGCCAACGCTATCAATTCCTCGCCTGCGGGCGTGGGCGCGGAGATGGGCGTGGGCGTGCGGCAGGTGAGGGCGGAGGTGAGCATCCCGGCCCTCACCAGGGACTACCTACACGCCAACCTCACCTGTCGCGCCAACAATAACAATATAACTGAACCGCTGTCCACCTCCCTCGCCATACTGCTTTTCCGTGAGTATACTTCCCCAGGCTTGCCTTGTTTATGGGGGAGGGGAGGGGGGGTTGAGCTCCGGCTTTTGGGCTTGGCTCTCAACATTCAGTCAACTGGCATGCAGGTTCCCGAGGAGGGGGGGAGAGTTGAGCTCCGGCTTTTGGACTTGGCTCTCAACATTCAGTCAACTGGCATGCAGGTTCCCGAGGAGGGGGGGAGAGTTGAGCTCCGGCTTTTGGACTTGGCTCTCAACATTCAGTCAACTGGCATGCAGGTTCCCGAGGAGGGGGGGAGAGTTGAGCTCCGGCTTTTGGACTTGGCTCTCAACATTCAGTCAACTGGCATGCAGGTTCCCGAGGAGGGGGGGGGGGAGTTGAGCTTCAGTTTTTGGGCTTGGCTCTCAACATTCAGTCAACTGGCATGCAGGTTCCCGAGGGGGGGGGGGAGTTGAGCTTCAGTTTTTGGGCTTGGCTCTCAACATTCAGTCAATTGACATGCTGGTTCCCGTGTCTGTTGGCGTTGTGGTGAGGGACAGGGGCCGGCAGGCACCGGTGGAGGGATGATATGTAGGGATATATTGGTTGGTGCGTGAGCATTGATTACCTCCATCTTCAGATCAGTACAAATGACGTCCGGCACTCCTCGAACTCCCTGAACGTTCTTACTGGACACAATCCTCCTTACAGGGATGATATATGAATCTCAAGCCATTCTCCATTCTCTAGATTTGGGGTTCCAAAGCCTCTTGTCAATACTCCTCCCCCCCCCCACCCCCCCCTCCCCCCTGGCTCAAAGCCGTCTCCTCATTCCTCGTAATATTTACACCCGTCCTATCCCCCTCACACATGATGAGGGGGGGGGGGGAGGGGAACGGGATAGTTCACCACCCAGCTCATCCCTCTTTCCATTTTTATGTTGTCCTTGTTCTTCTCCACGATTCGCTGGGCCAAGGTGTCTCTTGCTACAGTCTTTTGTTCCCTCATTTCGCGCGCATGACTTCCAGGCGGTGAAGTCCTGGACACACACACACACACACACACACACACACACACACACACACACACACACACACACACACACACACACACACACACACACACACACACACACACACACACACACTTCTAAATGCAAATTACGCTGGGCTGGAAGGGTGGGGGTGGGGGGGGGGTGGTGGCACAGTGCCTGCACTGTGCCACACTCTTGGCCTCTCCGTGTGTTGTCCTCCAGAGTCGCGGAGGACCCATCCAAGCACATTGTCATCACCTCCTGTGTAGGTTAATTGTGTTTGTCTTGCTCGTGTTGATGTGAGAACTGTTTGTGTGATGAGTAGGTGCCACCAGGGGGTTGAGAGGTGCCACCAGGGGATTGAGAGGTGCCACCAGGGGGCTGAGAGGTGCCACCAAGGGGCTGAGAGGTGCCACCAGGGGGCTGAGAGGTGCCACCAGGGGGCTGAGAGGTGCCACCAGGGGGCTGAGAGGTGCCACCAGGGGGCTGAGAGGTGCCACCAGGGGGCTGAGAGGTGCCACCAGGGGGCTGAGAGGTGCCACCAGGGGGCTGAGAGGTGCCACCAGGGGGCTGAGAGGTGCCACCAGAGGGCTGAGAGGTGTCACCAGGGGGCTGAGAGGTGTCACCAGGGGGCTGAGAGGTGCCACCAGGGGGCTGAGAGGTGTCACCAGGGGGCTGAGAGGTGTCACCAGGGGGCTGAGAGGTGCCACCAGGGGGCTGAGAGGTGTCACCAGGGGGCTGAGAGGTGCCACCAGGGGGCTGAGAGGTGTCACCAGGGGGCTGGGAGGTGCCACCAGAGGGCACAAAGACGAAACTTAACAATATTAACCAACCTTGAATACCTGGGAGCCAGCAAAACATCTTCTCAAGACCCCCTGGATACAAACTCTCTCGCTACTTAAGGTGTTTTATTTAACGATAAAAAAAAATATAATTTTTACCCGGACTGAAGTCAAGGACTTTTGGTGGACAACACCAGGCAGAGTGCCAGAGGGGCTTTAATCCGGTGTCCCGCATATCCGGACGGAAAGCTTGAACTGAAGAGTAGTGTTTTAAGCGGACCTGACTCCAGGCAGACGGAGAAGACATATACGTTCATGACAATATACTGGAAGCTGCCTAATAGCCCGATCGAGGGCCCCGGAAGCAAGGATACGAGGCTTCATCTACGCGATCACCAAATCAGCTACTGGCCTGAGCGAACAGCGCTTAACCGAGTGGCGTGCTCACCTCGACACTACGACAGACCTTGAGCCAGATTCACCAAAGCACTTACGCAAACACTTACGAACCTGTACATCTTTTCTCAATCTTTGGCGGCTTTGTTTCCAATTATTAAACAGTTAATGAGCTCCGAAGCACCAGGAGGCTGTTTATAACAATAACAACAGTTGATTGGCAAGTTTTCATGCTTGTAAACTGTTTAATAAATGTAACCAAAGCCGTCAAAGATTGAGGAAATATGTACACGTTCGTAAGTGCTTGCGTAAGTGCTTTCGTGAATCTGGCCCCTTGTGAGTTTCAACTCTCAACTTGTGAACGGGAAGAAGGTGGAGGCGTGTGTACCCAAGCGCCCGGATAATTTATGTTTTTATCTCTGTATATAAGTCAGTGGGACTGGTGCCTAGTGGGGCACCGCCCCCCCCCCCCCCCCCCCCGCGACCCCCCGTCCCAGGTCGTGATGGGAGCGTCTGGAGGATAGTGGAGAGTGCGGCTAAGAGGATATGTCACGGATAGGAGGCTCCGTGTGTCCGTGTGAGGACTGGCTAGTGATGTGCTTCTCACACGCCAAGACACAAGTGTCACCATCCAAGACACAGGGGAAGGACGGGTCAAGACACATGTGTCACTACCCAAGACACAAGGACCCAGTCTTTGTTTACTAGGCCAAGACCTGTAAATGTAAATGAATGAGTTCTTTCACATCAATCAACAAGATAACAAATGCCGGCTTATCCATTCATCCACATAATTTAGTCAAGTTAATTTATTTCTCCCTCCTTTAAATGAAGTGTAAAATACCTACAGAGTTGTGTGTCCAATGTAATACATATTGCAGAGCTCAGTTTCTATAACTCTGTTTATCTTCATATACTGCATTAGTGCACTTAAGCTTATCAGGCGGAATTGTTCCTTATCGTAATAAGGTAAGTTGTACGAAGGATATTATAAGAGGAATCCGAATGCTTTAACTGCAAGGTTTATACTTTCTGATAATTGTATATTATTTCTCATTTTCATCCATCTTACAGGCCCAAGTAATTGTATATTTATAGTACACTATAATGTCTTCGCCGGGATGAGGGGGGGCTGGTTCGACCAACCTGTCCTCCTAAAAATAACGTTGATTTTAGCCGTTTGCCCGTTTGGCCGAATTTGGAGGTAATTTGAAAATTTAAAAAAATTGAAAATAAATTTGGGATTTTTTTTTCAACTACAGGAAGTTAAGGGTCCTCTGATAGGTTAGGTGGGCAGGAAATTCTCATAAAGTTTCAAAACGGTATGAAAAACGTGAATTGAAAGTCATCTATTCTAACCTTACAGAGTCGGCCGGACGACTCAAACAGAAAACGGAACAGTACGTTACTTTTGTGAGTCGATTTCATTTCAAATTACGTCCAAATTTGGCCATAGTGCGCATACGAGCCAAAAGTGACGTTGTTTTTAAGAGGACAGGTTGTGTTCTCAGCCAAGGGGTTACGAAGCTTCTTGATAACCTTTTCATCAAAGTCGGTATTACTGTGGCATTTTTATTTCAACATTATTTGGTGGAAACGTTTGATTACCAGAGCTGACAAGACGAGCAGGAAGGGGGGGGGGGCAGATTCACGAAGTAGTTACGCAAGTACTTACGAACCTGGGACCAGATTCACGAAGCAGTTACGCAAGTACTTACGAACCTGGGGCCAGATTCAAGAAGTAGTTACGCAAGTACTTACGAACCTGGGGCCAGATTCACGAAGCAGTTACGCAAGTACTTACGAACGTGTACATCTTTCCTCAATCTTTGACGGCTTGGGTTACATTTATTAAACAGTTTACAAGCATGAAAACTTGCCAATCAACTGTTGTTATTGTTATAAACAGCCTCCTGGTGCTTCGGAGCTCATTAACTGTTTAATAATTGTAAACAAAGCCGCCAAAGATTGAGAAAAGATATACAGGTTCGTAAGTGCTTGTGTAACTGCTTCGTGAATCTGCCCCCAGGTCCGCAACCCGTCCTCTACAGTTGTCAAAGTGTCCCCTCAAAAAATGTGGTACAATATTTTCTGAACCGAACCTAACCGACGACTCAGGCATAGAAAATGGGGATGTTTGTGAGCCAATAGGATTTATAGTATATCATATTTTATGCCCTGGGGATTTTGACGTCAAAATGCATTATTCGAGAGGAGAGGGTGATGATGTACTTACTGCATCTTCAAACATATGCACACTTGATGCTTTTCTTACATTCATGAGTACGTTCACTCATGAACGTCTCATCTACAAGTCTGTTGGGAATCTACCTAAGGTTATAGTAATCCATTAGAATCTCGGTGATGCTTTAAGGAGGAATGTGTCGTAGTGTATCTTGAGGTTATCTTGAGATGATTTCGGGGCTTTTTAGTGTCCCCGCGGCCCGGTCCTCGACCAGGCCTCTACCCCCAGGAAGCAGCCCGTGACAGCTGACTAACACCCAGGTACCTATTTTACTGCTAGGTAACAGGGGCATAGGGTGAAAGAAACTCTGCCCATTGTTTCTCGCCGGCGCCTGGGATCGAACCCAGGACCACAGGATCACAAATCCAGCGTGCTGTCCGCTCGGCCTACCGGCTCCCTTAGTGTAGACCACAGTAATTTAATTTAATAATTTTATATCACACAGTAGTAAAATTAGTGTGTAGACCACACTAATTTTACGAGTATTGTATTTTGGGACAAAAATTGTTACTAAAGTGGATTTTGTGGTTTACAGTGCGGCCCAAGACGGTGGAGATCAGCACGCCGGAGGCGCCGCTGGTGGCGGGGCAGCAGGCGAGGCTGGAGTGTGTAGCGGTGGGCGCCTATCCTGCAGCGTCTCTGGTCTGGACCCTCACCCCCGCCCACGGCGCCCACACTACTACCCTGCCCTCCTCCGTGAGTACCAGCTCGGGTAGAGGGCGTGGCTGTCAAACAATCATTGGTTCAGTAGAGAAGGTCACAAGCCTGGGTGAGCTTCCCTCTCACTGTCTCGAGGCTCTTCCCTCTGGCACTCCCCTTTGGCACTCCCTTCTGGCACTCCCCAACTCTCCCACAGGCACCCAGTTGATGCTGTGGCAGCCGGGCCTAAGTTGGACCAAGTTAGAGGACAAAGTTAGGCCCCTCCGTCACTGCTTCATCAGGCAGTAATGGGTCTGGCAGTAACATATGTATATTGGTGTACATTAACTTAATTTGTTTTAAGTAACATAGTAAAAACTTAGTTGAAGATGGTGAGTCGTAGTAACGCGGCTGAAGAACTGATGATCAGACCCCACGCCAGAAGATGAGACGATGTTGTTTCGGTCCGTGCTGGACCATTTATCAAGTCGATTGTCTGGACAGTGGTCCAGGACGGACCGAAACGTCGTCGTCTCCTCGTCTTCTGGTGTGTGGTTTGGTCTTCAAAAACGTAGTTGCAACAGGCGAGGAAAAGAACCACCATACTGTAAGCTGTGGGGGTCACGAACCCCCAAAGGGTTGAACCGCGTCAGCTAGTTCCAGCCGCGGTTCTTGTGACTCCACTTCCCCCAACTACAGCCTGCTTTCCATCGGCAGTGGCGGCAGGTGGGCGAGAAGACATCGTCGTGGGTGCGGGTCGTACCAGCTGCCGAAGACCACCTGGCTACAGCCACCTGCTCCGCCCACAACCCCAACATCACCACCACCCTCCACCCGGGCCTCACCACCTCAACCACCTTACACGTCCTCTGTGAGTACCTTCGGCCACACCTTTGAGTTTACCTCGAAGTAGTCCATCAGCCTCGTAACTTGTTTCGAAGTTTCCCCTGTGTGGTTTAGAGGGAGCCGGTCGGCCGAGCGGACAGCACGCTGGGCTTGTGATCCTGTGGTCCCGGGTTCGATCCCGGGCAGAGTTTCTTTCACCCTATGCTCCTGTTATCTAGCAGTAAAATAGGTTCCTGGGTGTTAGTCAGCTGTCACGGGCTGCTTCCTGGGGGTGGAGGCCTGGCCGAGGACCGGGCCGCGAGGACACTAAAGCCCCGAAATCATCTCAAGATAACCTCAAGATAGGCTATGTGAGAGTACTTCTACGACCCCCCAGCATACCTTATCCAATTTAGGGTGCTCCGACAGGTTCTTTTGATAGTCTATGACTGCCTTCAGCATAATCTCACTGATCGATGAGATCCTTCAGTAGGTTCTAAGTTAGCGACAAGGGCCTCGAGTAAGGCAAAGTTATGTACGAGGGCTTCCGGTAGACTGTAAGTTGTGTACAAGTGCCCTAACAGACTGTTGACGATGCCTTCCAGCATGATCCAGTCTCCGTTCTCACTAGGAAGTGTGGCTGTGCACTACTGTGTTGTGTGTGTACCTATATAGGGTTAAAACACGCTGTAAGTGGTTTAGGATTCTTCCTGGAGGGTTAAATAACAAAGGATTTCTGTGTCAAGCGTAAGTGTTAATCTTGGGGATCCTCTGCTAGTGTCGATGACGTGGGCTTAGTTTCTAATTATCACTAAAGCGCTAGAGAAGATCTGAAACTAGTTAGGACACTGAGAGAGAGAGAGAGAGAGAGAGAGAGAGAGAGAGAGAGAGAGAGAGAGAGAGAGAGAGTGTGTGTGTGTGTGTGTGTGTGTGTGTGTGTGTGTGTGTGTGTGTGTGTGTGTATTTTTCAAACACGGCTGTATAAGTGTATTTTTTTCTTTGCCATGTACTAATGTTTATGTACTGATAAAAGAGTCCTGCGGTTGTCTTGAACACGCTGATGGTACAAACAATCCATTACAATATTTTCAGTCGCAATTTTACGCTCTGGAGGTCAACATGAATGATTGTCTCGCCACAATCCATATGTAATCTGGATTGTGACGCATCCCAAAGTTAGTCTAAATAACGGTATTTCAGTGTTATTTGTACAGGGGCTAATCTGTCCCCCTGTTTCCTACAGGGTGACCTTATATAGCCCATTTTTTCCTTTGAATTTTCCTTGCTACGTGCTATTTTGGGGGTGACCCCTGCTCTTGACGTAGCCTCTACCTCTGATGACCTCTCTCGACCTTGTCTCTACCCCTAGTGACCTCTGTTGACCTTGTCTCTTCCTCTGGGGACTTCGTATCAACCCCTGATGACCTCTCCTGACCTTTTTGTTATCCTTGCTGACCTTTGCTGTTCATGTGTATAACCCTGGTAACCTCTCTACTCCTGGTGACTTCTCCTGACCCTATATCTACCCCTGGTGACCTCTGTTGACCTTGTCTCTTCCTCTGGGGACTTCGTATCAACCCCTGATTACCTCTCCTGCCCTTGTTATTATCCTTGCTGACCTTTGCTGCTCTTGTATATAACCCTGGTAACCTCTCTACTCCTGGTGACTTCTCCTGACCATATATCTACCCCTGGTGACCTCTGTTGACCTTGTCTCTACCCCCTGGTGAGGTCAGTCGCGCCGGTGGTCAAGCTGGAGCTGGGTGCCAACCTCGGGTCGCTGCCCATCACCGAAGGCAAGGACGTCTACTTCGAGTGTGAGGTCGCCTCCAACCCTCCAGCCAGAGAGGTCATCTGGAGGAAGGACGTGAGTAGTGCCAGAGTGTGAAGTGGTAGAATAGAAATGGAGAGTGGTTGACGGAGCGGAACACAACGGAAGAGTGAGAGTTAGCACTGGAATAGAGTGAGAGGTGTAGAGAATGTTAGTCACCTTGTTATGGAGATCCTTCTAGGGAAGGGCTTTAGAGAGAGAGAGAGAGAGAGAGAGAGAGAGAGAGAGAGAGAGAGAGAGAGAGAGAGAGAGAGAGAGAGAGAGAGAGAGAGAGAGAGCACCACTTCGCCAACCACTCACGTGTCCGCCATCAGCAGGGAGTCCGCGTGAAGAACGACCGCAAGTCCGGGGTGCTGGTGTCTGAGAGGAACCTGGTGCTGCAGATGGTACGGAGGACCTCCGCCGGCAACTACACCTGCAGCGCCACCAACACCCAGGCCACCACCACCAGCAACACCCTCTACCTCGGTATAAGGTGTAAGTATGTCAACAACACTCTCCATCCCACCTCTCACTTTTCCCGCCATTGTATCTGGCGGTCTTCCAAAACTCAACTGTCGAATACACTTTGTGTCCCTTTTGTGGAAGAAGATAACGTGCACTCACTTGAACTTTGATGGTAGACTGTCCCATATTGACCGACTTCCTTACCTCCCTGGGTGGAGATCTATTGAACTTTGTAAATATCATTTTGTATACTTAAACACCTAATGACATACTGGACCTGTACCCAGGATTTACGATGTAATGGAATAATCATGTAATATACGCGATGTGATTATAACGAACTTGTAAACACAGTTGAATCATATTCTGTGGTTGAGTGCCCAGTAACCCACTACAGTGTGGGGAGTGAAACGGATCTCTAACCCTTCTTTATGTAGGTCAGACATAATGTATATATGCAGCTTTGCTTTGGAAGTGAATGGCCAGGTATGTAGTCGAAAAAAAAACTCCATGTCCTCCTCTCCTCCATAAACATCAATGTCTTATCCACCCCCTCCCTAACAATCTCTATTCACCTTACTACACTTAGCCTACTACACCAAGGGCCAGATTCACGAAAGCACTTACGCAAGCACTTACGAAGCTGTACATCTTTTCTCAATCTCTGGCGGCTTTCTTTACAATTATTAAACAGTTAATGAGCTCCGAAGCACCAGGAGGCTGTTTGTAACAATAACAACAATTGATGGGAAGTTTTCATGCTTCTAAACTGTTTAATAAATGTAACCAAAGCCGTCAAAGATTGAGGAAAGATGTGCACATTCGTAAGTGCTTGCGTAAGTGCTTTCGTGAATCTGGCCCCATGCTGTTCCTTCCCTCCAGCCCCCCCCCCCCCCCGCAGCCAAAATCCATTCTCTGTTCAAATTTCCGCAAGGATTTCTAGATAGTATATACTTCCTCTACCTAGAAATCCAACATTCTGCCTGTAACTCATTTTATATGTATATACATTTCCCTAAATCTAATCATTATCAAATATAAATAACAAAATACAATCATTATCAAAAGTAAAGTTATGGAGAGAATGGGAAAACAGTCGCGTCCAAATGTCACGAATGAGCCACTTGTAGAAAAGTTCAACTTATATCGTATATATCGTATATCGTATACTTATCACACACGCATAAACGGCACAAACGCCTATGTGACATTTAAAAATAGGCCTAAAGTATGTTGACCAGACCACACACTAGAAGGTAAAGGGACGACGACGTTTCGGTCCGTCCTGGACCATTCTCAAGTCGCTTCTACACGTCTATCAACTTGAGAATGGTTCAGGACGGACCGAAACGTCGTCGTCCCTTCACCTTCTAGTGTGTGGGCTGGTCAACATACTTCAGCCACGTTATTGTGAATACAATAACGTGTAAATAACGGAGGTCACTAAATACAAAGTGTATTTAGGCCTGCATAGGCCTAAATGTGCAGAAATACCGCAGTGTAGTAAGCACCAATGATGACCCGTAGGTCGACACTACTGATGTACGATGACTCAATATAACTGTCAACACACAAAATACTGGTATAATACATTTCATTAATCGTACAATTGTCACCTAATACTTTGACGTGGTGTAAGGCATACACATTATATTAACTGTATTAGACTCCACAAAGGGATTATTAAATCATTAATTAATAATTCGACGGACTGCCAGAAGGACTGCCTGAGTTTTTTGTTTAAGTTCAGTTCATTTATTATGAACCCCATACCCATGTTATGAGCGGTAGTGGGTTACAGAGGCACATAATGGGCTCAGGGACTGAACCACACAGTTCATTTAGCTAAGCAAGTTTGCAAGTTGGAGCTTGCAATGAGCACGATTGCAAGCTCCAACTCTTAGATGTGAAATGTAATAATGCAAAGCCCACAAGACGCTGTACATTGCTCAACACGCTAGTCGAAGCTTCCTTATACCCCAGACTTGCCGGTGTGTGTGGGGGAGGCGCAGACGGTAGCCGTGGCGGAGGGGGAGAAGACCCGCCTCTCGTGCACCGTGGACGCCCAGCCTGAGGACGACCTCGCCTTCACTTGGGTCTTCAACAATACTCTCGACACCGTGGAGGTCGAGGACGACTCCTTCGCCGTGCTCCCAGGCCTTAGCATCCTCGATTATACCCCAAGGTCAGAGATGGATACTTCTTTAGCATTAGAGACACTACTACTAAGTCGGGGAAAGCTGTTCCAAGTAGCACGGGCTATGGTGAGCCCGTTGTGGACTTACCTGGCACAGGAGCGGGGCAAGTAGCACGGGCTATGGTGAGCCCGTTATGGACTTACCTGGCACAGGAGCGGGGCTGTAACTCGGGGAAATGGCCTGTTGTTGTTATAGATTCAGTTACTTGGAACAAGTTCCAAGTAGGACGGGCTATGGTGAGCCCGTAACTTACCTGGCACAGGAGAGGGGGCAAGTAGCACGGGCTAGGGTGAGCCCGTAGTGAACTTAACTGGCACAGGAACTCCTGAGGGAAAACGCCAAGCCATGGCGACTATATAGCACTGGGAAGGGGTCAGGATAAGGATTTGGGATGGGACGGGGGGGGGGAGGAATGATGCCTAACCACTTGTGGACGGTCGGGGATTAAACGCCGACCTGCAGGAAGCCAGAGCGTCGCTCTACCATCCTGCCCAAGTGGTTGGATTAGAGATAAATTGCCCATGTATTTTACAGACCAGTTCTGCCCCCAGGGAAGGAAAACTATACCTCCACATTATAATTTTTTTACCTAAAGGGAAATATACTGCCATGTACAAATATTTTACTGCTAAGAATACATATTTTACTTCTGGGGTGGTAGTATATGCCTCCATTTACATGTATTTTACCTTCAAAAATAATATGTCTCCATGTAAGCCCATTTTTTTACTCCTTAGTGAGATAAATATACCTCCATTTAAGTTACCTTTAACCGTAAGCGGAGGAAATATACCTCCCATATACGTCCATTATCTCCCCCCCCCCCTCAGTACGAGAAATATACCTCTTGTGTATCTTCTTGACAGCTACGTATGTCGGCAGTTAATCCCAGAGCCCGCAGCTTTATCTTCCAAGACCATAACAAACTTCCTCCTTGTCTTGTCTATAATGCTGCTGCCTTTGATCTCCATGGCCGAGAAGCGGATCCGGAAATATCTCTGGGATAATAACCGATATTAGTTTACCTTTCCTCAGTTGTTTTGCTCAACTTACCGAGTGGGAAACTGTGTGTTTGTAAAGTTTGTTTACCTGAGTTTACCTGAGACTAGTGGCCTTGTATACCAACCAAACTCGGTTGTATTTAAACGAATTTGTGTGAGCTCCACTGATCTCTAATGCGGATGTTGACCAGACTACACACTAGAAGGTGAAGGGACGACGACGTTTCAACACGGGAGACATCTCCCGTCACGCAGGGTGCAGTCGCACCTCCACAGATCTCCAGTATCAGCTCTTGATACTGGTAATGGCTCAAAAGGGCCACCACTTACGGGCTATTTATGCCCGTGCCACCTTTTGGGTGGCTCAATCTTCATCAATCAATCAATCGACGTTTCAATCACACAATGGGGACACAATCGACTTGAGAATGGTCCAGGACGGAGCGAAACGTCGTCGTCCCTTCACCTTCTAGTGTGTGGTCTGGTCAACATACTTCAGCCACGTTATTGTGACTCGTCGCCTGCGTCTAATGCGGATATATCTTAGTGCTGCTGTAACTTAGTTCAACTGTATCCTAATGCGCTTTTATCCTAGTGCTTTTGTATCCTAATGCGGCTGCTAGGATACAGCCAATGCTGTATCTTAGCATTGCTGTCTCCTCTCAGCCCCGCCACAGAACTCTCGCGGTTAATTAGACATGTTCCTTACACGGATTGCCGGACAAGTTGGTCATTCCTGGGCGTTAAAACTTTGGCTTTATATATTACCGGATTGAGAAGTTTGCCTTTCACAAGACGGAGTCCATTGACGGCGCCTCAAAGCCCTGTCAAGGTAATTGACTGCGGGTTTAGAAGCAGATTGTCAACCGCCATGTTGGTTCCGATTGTATATTACTATTGGTGTTAATTAGTTATTAATTCCTTTGATATTCACGTTCCACAGGAAAAATTTAATTTGGTGTTAATAAGCAAATCGTTTTGGGATTAAAATCCAGGTCATATGCACCCATTTGGAAAAATAGGCGATGTTGACTGGCCAAATGGGTGCCTCGCCCATTTGGCGGGAGATTGATAAACACGTTCAGACAATGACAATTAATGTCATTGCTCGTATCAAACATTCAAATTTAACATATAATTTAATTAAGCCTATGAGTTCAATTGACCTAAGCGTCGGTCTATATTTTGTAATGTATTGATAACGGGAACGTTAGGTTCGCCTTTGACCACCAGGGTGATAAAGCAGTGACGTCACACTTCCGTGTGGAAGCAGTGACGTCACACTTCCACGTGGAAGCAGTGACGTCACACTTCCACGTGGAAGCAGTGACGTCTGTGGTCAAGACTGTGGTCTTGACCCTATCAAGAGGATGGGTGACCCTGATTGATGAAGATCAAGCCACCCAAGAGGTGGCACTGACATGAATAGCCCGTAAGGGGGGTGACCCTCTTATGGTCACCTATATCCACTCTAACACACGGGAGACATCTCCCGTCACGCAGGGTGCAGTTGCACCTCCACAGATCTCCAGTATCATCTATTGATACTGGTAATGGCTCAAAAGGGCCACCACTTACGGGCTATTCATGCCCGTGCCACCTTTTGGGTTACCTTGAGGTTACCTTGAGGTGCTTCCGGGGCTTAGCGTCCCCGCGGTCCGGTCGTCGACCAGGCCTCCTGGTTGCTGGACTGATCAACCAGGCTTAATCTTTATCAATCAATCACCAGATGACGCACTACCTTGCTGCTACGGGAAATAATACAAAAGACCACAATTGCATTATGAACGTGACCAGCTCTCTAGCTTGGAGGATTTCACCCGCAGGTCAGGACGGGACTACGGGACACTCTCCTGCTGGGCCACCAATGAGGTGGGGACCCAGGCTGACCCTTGCAAGTTTACCGTCGTCGAAGCTGGTAAGTCTCTCAGTCATCACATGGGGATGGGGTGGAGATTGGGGGAGATGGAGTGGAGATGGAGGGAGCTGAGGTAGGAACTCCTCAGTGGCGAGTGGGGGGAGAAGGAAGGAAGATGGTTGGCTATGATAATTGTATTCATAATAATGTCCAAATATTGTTTCAAGCGCGGGTTGGACAAGTATATGAGTGGGATTGGGTGGTTATAAATAGGAGCTGCCTCGTATGGGCCAATAGGCCTTCTGCAGTTGCCTTTGTTCTTATGTTCTTATGTTCAAACATTATTCACAATCCAAACAGAGGCACAAAGAACAGAAGATAGGGGGGACCATTCTAGATACAAAGGTGACACAAAACGTGCTAACTTTTCAAATGCCATTGTTATGGTACAATTCATGGAGTTACTTGAGTAGCACCGCGAGGTAGCAAGTCGCAGCGGCTAACTTGCCCCTTCTCTCTCTCTCTGCCCGTGGCCAGGGCCCCCAGAGCCAGTGGGGAACTGTGTGCTGGTGAACCTGACGCTAGGGAGCCTGGAGGTGGGCTGCACTCCGGGTAACGACGGAGGGCTGCCGCAGCGGTTCGTGGCCCGCGTGTACGCCTCCCCGACCCACACCCTCCTGGCTACTATGGAAGAGGACGCCCCCAGGTTCCAGGTGGGAGGGTTGACCCCGGGTCAGGACTACCTCATCACCATCACCGCCGTCAACGCCAAGGGCGCCAGCCCGCCTGAGGAGATCGATGCGGTGCGCCTCAAGGTAAGGTCTTCATTGCAGGCGAGGAGTCACAGTAACGTGGCTGAAGTACGTTGACCAGACCTTTACTAGAAGAACTGGTCAACGTACTTCAACGTCGTACTTCAACGTACTTGAACGTCGTCGTCCCTTCACTAGAAAGTGAAGGGACGACGACGTTTCGGTCCGTCCTGGATCATTCACAAGTCGATTGTGATGGGGATGGGGTGGAGATGGAGAGAGCTGAGGAGAATGGTCGCAACAATCGACTTGAGAATGGTCCAGGACGGACCGAAACGTCGTTGTCCCTTCACTTTCTAGTGTGTGGTCTGGTCAACAAGGTCTTCAACGATCCGTTTCTAATGTTGTCTTCGAGGTGATGTATGATTCACTGTCATGACACGATCGAGCTCGTAGTGGGGTAGTCAGCGGCCCAAAGCAATCCAAACAGATGCACAAAACACACGAAAACACACATTGATACATATACCCGACGCGTCAGTCAATCTCACTGGTACATTGTCGCCGATTCAAAAAAATATTTGTTGAGCAGTAAAATATTATTTGTAAATAACGACATACTAAAAACACGACCACACGACCCACACAAAAAATTCAGAACGAAACCCCATGTTAATTACATTGGCAATACACAATTTCCATCAAACCGCGAAGAGGATTTTTAGTAATTTGGTGTAGCAGCGTGTGAATGAGGGCGCTCAGCGAGCACAGAATGAGTGTGATCCCATTACCGCCGCCCAACATTAACAAAAATCCATATACGGGGGCGCGCTGATTACCCAGTGTTCAGTGGCGGGTATTATTCTGTCTCCACACAGGATCTGTGTGTCTGTCTCTGTCTGTCCCTCCTACACAGGATCTGTGGGTCTGTCTGTCTCTGTCTGTCCCTCCCACACAGGATCTGTGTCTGTCTCTGTCTGTCACTCCCACACAGGATCTGTGTGTCTGTCTGTCTCTGTCTGTCCCTCCTACACAGGATCTGTGGGTCTGTCTCTGTCTGTCCCTCCTACACAGGATCTGTGGGTCTGTCTGTCTCTGTCTGTCCCCCCTACACAGGATCTGTGTGTCTGTCTCTGTCTGTCCCTCCCACACAGGATCTGTGTCTGTCTCTGTCTGTCACTCCCACACAGGATCTGTGTGTCTGTCTCTGTCTGTCCCTCCTACACAGGATCTGTGGGTCTGTCTGTCTCTGTCTGTCCCTCCTACACAGGATCTGTGGGTCTGTCTCTGTCTGTCCCTCCCACACAGGATCTGTGTCTGTCTCTGTCTGTCACTCCCACACAGGATCTGTGTGTCTGTCTCTGTCTGTCCCTCCTACACAGGATCTGTGGGTCTGTCTGTCTCTGTCTGTCCCTCCTACACAGGATCTGTGGGTCTGTCTCTGTCTGTCCCTCCCACACAGGATCTGTGTGTCTGTCTGTCTCTGTCTGTCCCTCCTACACAGGGTGTGTGTGTCTGTCTCTGTCTGTCCCTCCTACACAGGATGTGTGGGTCTGTCTCTGTCTGTCCCTCCCACACAGGATCTGTGTGTGTGTCTCTGTCTGTCCCTCACACACCCTTAATATTATGCCCCCACCGCCTACTAAGCAACGTGCATGTGTCACCTCTGTAATCGTCTTAACACCTGTGTGTTTACAAGACTGCGGCCTTGTGTAGGAGAGGATGCCGGCGGCCACCTTGCTCTTCCCTCTTCCCGCTCTTGAGCACGGCTGGCGCAGGGAGGAGGGGGGTCACACTTCAGTCGAGTTATAACTTTAATGATGGCTGGAGGAAGTAACCGGAAGAAGCACATGCTCGGGTTTAAGGAGGAGGACGAGGAGGAGGACGCCGACGGGAAGACTTGAGTGAAGTGACTATGGAGGAGACATTTTAAGGAAGAGAATGTATTAGTTTAATGTGCATGTAATTCTGCCCATTTGTTTGTAATTTCATGAGCATTCGTTGGAGGCCTGGTCGACGACCGGGCCGCGGGGTCGCTGAGCGCCGGAATCACCTCAAGGTAACCTCAAGGTAGGTACCATAAACTCAGTAGTAGGCCAAATGGGGGGGGGGGTCGATAGGCCTAACTGACTTCATCGGCCGAAAGTAGAGAGTCATAACTCCAAGACTGTTCATCTCTACTGGGCTGCCTTGGCCTTCACGGAGAGGGTGAACCAGTTCATCCATGTCTAAACCTGATAGAAAACGGGGAGGGGGAGGGATATGTTCTTATGGCTCCTCCTTACTCCTTAAGATGTTTACCTTGTCATACTGTGCTGTACTCTGCTGTCTGCCTTGCTGCTGCTGCTGTGCACTCTTTGTGATCTCTGATCTTCTTGTAGTTCTTGCTTGCTTGCTTCACAAATTTGCTTCTGTCTGTTGCTAGACTTCTTGACATGCCCTCAAATTCCTCCCGTCTGCTGGTATATATATATATTTCACAGGATTGTAGTTTTTAAAGATAACTTTCAGTGGGCGATTTCTCTCTTGAAACCTTCCTAGTATAGAGTAATGTTCTATATCCATGGTTACCTCTCCAGCTGGAAGACTGTGGATGATCCCTGTATTTGTGGTCTCTTTTGCTCTCCCCTTTTAGCAATAGGTTCTTCCTATTGGCTCTGGAGGAGGTTATCTTGAATCTTGGTTATCTTGAATGATGGTTATCTTGAGATGATTTCGGGGCTTAGCGTCACCGCTGCCCGGTCCTCGACCAGGCCTCCTTTTTGTTACACACCCCCAGGAAGCAGCCCGTAGCAGCTGACTAGGGCATCTTGAGATGATTTCGGGGCTTTTTAGTGTCCCCGCGGCCCGGTCCTCGACCAGACCACCAAACATTTCTAGATAATGTGGTGCCTGGTACAGCGTGCAGCTATGAGCCGCTTTAATGAGCAAAGCGCTAACTCAATATATATAAATTCTGGAAAACAAATTAAAAAAAATGTACAGGTGAGATAGGAGTGTACATTACATATAAAAGCACAAAGATTACCATCACAGTTATGGGCTATTCATGCCCGTGCCACCTCTTGGGTGGCTTAATCTTTATCAATCACCATCACAGGATAACGTACGCACCGTAGATGGGCCGCACAGATGACCAGGGATTTAATTTCAGGCAAAACTTGCTGCTCGGAGGTGTAAGGTGTTCTCATAATGTATAATAAGAGTGATGTTTCATTTTTCATAACTATGCTTCCTCGTTCTGAGAAAATGGCTCGGATCTCGTTTCAGCTGCGTCCGCGAATACTGCTTTCTTACAGAGTATTGTAAAAATACAGCGTTTATTGTAACAATACAGCGTTTATTGTAACAATACAGCGTTTATTGTAACAATACAGCGTTTATTGTAAAAATACAGCATTTATTGTAAAAATACAGCATTTATTGTAAAAATACAGCGTTTATTGTAACAATACAGCGTTTATTGTAAAAATACAGCATTTATTGTAAAAATACAGCGTTTATTGTAAAAATACAGCATTTATTGTAAAAATACAGCGTTTATTGTAACAATACAGCGTTTATTGTAAAAATACAGCGTTTATTGTAAAAATACAGCGTTTATTGTAAAAATACAGCGTTTATTGTAAAAATACAGCGTTTATTGTAACAATACAGCGTTTATTGTAAAAATACAGCGTTTATTGTAAAAATACAGCGTTTATTGTAAAAATACAGCGTTTATTGTAACAATACAGCGTTTATTGTAAAAATACAGCGTTTATTGTAAAAATACAGCGTTTATTGTAAAAATACAGCGTTTATTGTAACAATACAGCGTTTATTGTAAAAATACAGCGTTTATTGTAAAAATACAGCGTTTATTGTAAAAATACAGCGTTTATTGTAAAAATACAGCGTTTATTGTAACAATACAGCGTTTATTGTAAAAATACAGCGTTTATTGTAACAATACAGCGTTTATTGTAAAAATACAGCGTTTATTGTAAAAATACAGCGTTTATTGTAACAATACAGCGTTTATTGTAACAATACAGCGTTTATTGTAAATATACAGCGTTCATTGTAAGAATACAGCGTTTATTGTAAATATACAGCGTTCATTGTAAGAATACAGCGTTTATGGTAAAAATACAGCGTTTTTCGTATACCGAATTCTGTTTGTTTATATTAAGACAAATTTCATTGTTACTAATGTTATTTGGTATTTATAACGTAATTATCTTGTTGTAGCTGTTTAAATGTATATTATTTTGTATAATTCTATCAAATTATCTCACATTTAGTTTAAATTATTTGGAAATTGTTAGGTGCTTGTGTGTGTGTGTGTGTGTGTGTGTGTGTGTGTGTGTGTGTGTGTGTGTGTGTGTGTGTGTGTGTGTGTGTGTGTACTCACCTATTTGTGCTTGCGGGGGTTGAGCTTGGGCTCTTTGGTTCCGCCTCTCAACTGTCAATCAACTGGTGTACAGATTCCAGAGCCTACTGGGCTCTATCATATCTGTCATGTGTGTGTGTGTGTGTGTGTGTGTGTGTGTGTGTGTGTGTGTGTGTGTGTGTGTGTGTGTGTGTGTGTGTGTGTGTGTAGCGGTACTGAAGTGTTTGTCTTCAGGTGGCGGAGAAGCGGATGGGGGAGGTGGCGGGGCCGCCCGTGTCCCCGTTGGTGGGCGTGTTCCTGGGGCTGGTGGGCGCCTTCCTCCTGCTGCTGATGCTGGTCGTCGTCCTCACCCGGGCCAGGTCCAACAGGTAAGGTCTTCCCTGCGTCACCCAAGTCCTCCTAAGGGCAAGGAACTGCCTCCCTCCCTCCCTTATTCTAACTTACCAGAGGACCCAGAACAGAAAACGGGACAGTATGTCAAAAATCGCGAGCCGCTACCTTTTTCTAGTATATTTTTTGTTCTTTAGAGTATACGTCAAAATGCGACGTTCTACTAGGAGGACGGATTGAACCCCGTGCCGTGAGGAGGTGTGGAGGAGGTGTGTGGTGGAGGGGGTACATGTCAACACTGAGGTCAACCCAGGTTCTTCACGACTCACTCAAGTCAAGCCCCCAAGATGCCGTATGTTACACTAGCAAATGTCTTCCTCCTGATTGATAAAGATTAAGCCACGTAAGAGGTGGCACGGGCATGAATAGCCTGTAAGTCTCCCTCCTCACCTAACTCCGTCTATCCCTCTCCCCTTCCACCTCTCCCACTCTCCTCCACCTCTCCCACTCTCCTCTGCACCAACCCCTTCAACCTCCGGGTTCCGAGCGGGCGTAGAGAGATGGTTTTGTTGATAAGAACACACTACAGCTCAGAAGGGATGACACTAGTGGCAGTGAAGTCTTGAACCAAGTATGACACCATCAGGAATAAAATAAGGAACTGGAAGAAATTAAAGAAACATGGGAAGTTTAGCTGATATCTTGATATCATGGCTTTGATAACATGGCTGATATCTTCTCACTGAAACGTGAGAAGATATCAGCCAAAGAAGAAGCGGGGAATCTGAAAAGGAAAATCATCCTATAACCAAAATAAGAAATCTGCGAATGTTCAAGAAAATATCCCAGGCTCCGAGACCTGTGTAAGAAAGACCTACGCAGGCAGCCACTTCGTAAGAAGCAGCAAGGACAGCTACTACGTAGTCAAAACAAAAACAAAAAACAAAGCTATCGTAATGGCGGGAGTTAAGGAACCAAGAACGCTGATGGAAGACTGAAGAACACAGCTGCAGTGAGGCTGAAGAACACAGCTGCAGTGAGGCTGAAGAACACAGCTGCAGTGAGGCTGAAGAACACAGCTGCAGTGAGGCTGAAGAACACAGCTGCAGTGAGATTGAAGAACACAGCTGCAGTGAGGCTGAAGAACACAGCTGCAGTGAGACTGAAGAACACAGCTGCAGTGAGGCTGAAGAACACAGCTGCAGTGAGGCTGAAGAACACAGCTGCAGTGAGGCTGAAGAACACAGCTGCAATGACGGTAAGTTTGACAGAGTTGCAGGTATCAGACGCAGAAAACAGAATAGATGTTCAGGCTAGACTGGTTCAGGAAGGAAGCCAATCAGATGGTAAATGTTGTGTTTCACAAACTAGACTGAGATAAAATGCTAGCCTAGAAGAACAAACTTTAATAAGTACGGAACTACAGACAAGTATTTGTTTTTTCCCCAAGAGGACCGTAAAGGCTGCGAAAGCTGCAGTTGAAGATGCACGGACAAGGGGGCCATCTTCAACTCCAGAGGGTGGTGGGGGGGGGGGATGGGGAAGTTGCAGCACCCTCATGAATATATTCCCCATTGCAGCATAAATAAATTTACTCCCCAACCTCCCAAACCACTCTTCCCCTACCTTTTACCACCGCTATCTTCCCAGGTCTCCATCCAATGGTGATTGCTCTCTATTCACTCTCCATCCTCCACCAGAGAGAGAAGATTAAGCCACCCAAAAGGTGGCTTGGGCATGAATAGCCCATAAGTGGTGGCCCTTTTGAGCCATTTCCAGTATCAATAGATGATACTGGAGATCTGTGGAGGTGCGACTGCACCCTGCGTGACGGGAGATGTCTCCCGTGAAATCCTCCACCACCCTCTCCACCCACCATATAGCCAGGCATCCTTCCCCAACCCACCTCTACACCCCCCCCCCCCCCCCACCAAACCACGCTGCCACGTAATGGCCCCCATCCAAAGCGCATCCATCAACTTTAAGAACATCGAAAACGTGTATGTTAACACGCCAGGGGCCAGATTCACGAAAGCACTTACGCAAGCACTTACGAACGTGAACATCTTTCCTCAATCTTTGACGGCTTTGGTTACATTTATTAAACAGTTTACAAGCATGAAAACTTCCCAATCAACTGTTGTTATTGTTATAAACAGCCTCCTGGTGTTTCGGAGCTCATTAACTGTTTAATAATTGGAAACAAAGCCGCCAAAGCTTATGAGAAGATGTACAGGTTCGTAAGTGTTTGCGTAAGTGCTTTCGTGAATCTGGCCCCAGGTATATAGGTGTAGGAGGCGGGGGCCCGGAGCTAGATTTCACTCCCCGTGGACACTGATTGGTGAGCTCTCTCCCCACTAAGTTGCTCGCTTGGGGGCTGGAGGGGAAAAAGGAACTTGAAACTTAAGTCATGGAGGAAGCGAGTTTTAAACTAACGGAGAAAAACAGGGAAAGGATTTCGAACTCCGGGAACCGACTGAGGAGAAGATGTTAGCAACCAAACCCTCGGGATTTATAACAAATGCAGTGTTTCTACACGATTGCCACATAAAAAGACGAGAGAGAGAGAAGGAAGGGGAGGAGAAAGAATAACTGCTGGGTAGGAAAACTGGAGATTTATGGAAAGTGTAATCCCTGGTTGTGAGGGATTACCAGACTACTTAAGAGGAACCGTAACAACGGAAGAGTCAGAATAATAGTCTCAGTGATATTCAACCTTCAAGGAAAGGAGAGAAAACCGAAGCAGGGGTAAGATATCAGAAGGCAGATATTACTGCCTTTAGTTGCATATAACTGCCATAGAGCAACTTCTCTTGCAAATAAGAATGTCTAGAGTGAAGGTGAAGGAGAGACCCCATTACATGTGCCGGTGTCTTAATGAACCATTTTAGGACGAAGCTCCATACTTATCAAGGTGTTGAGGACATTGTTCATAGCACCTTGGGTAAACACCGGCGGTTCATGCCAAAATGTTTCAGTAATACCATTTTGTATTGGCACATGTATTGAGTCTTTTCTTCACCGTCATTTAAACACTATGGCATTGTAGTAAGTTTCCCTAATGTCTGGACCGTCCTAGTGGCCGGCCACCATTCCTTCCCTTCGCAGGCGATGAGTCACAATAACGTGGCTGAAGTATGTTGACCAGACCACACACTAGAAGTTGAAGGGACGACGACGTTTCGGTCCATCCTGGACCATTCTCAAGTCGATGAGAATGGTCCAGGACGGACCGAAACGTCGTCGTCCCTTCAACTTCTAGTGTGTGGTCTGGTCACCATTCCTTCCCTTCGTCCCATTCCTTCCCTTGGCGCTTTCCCCCCTGATAGTTCCCTTCCCTTCCAATGTCTAGATTATTAATTATTGGAGAAATTATTAATGACACAATAGACAGCAAGAATAGAGACCTTCGTGGATGCACAAGAAGCCTAGAGACCAAAATTAACAGAAGCAGCGGTGATACATTTTCTAAGCCAGCATATCGGGTGGCCCCACAGGAATCACTGGTTATCTTGAGGTTATCTTGAGATGATTTCGGGGCTTTTTAGTGTCCCCGCGGCCCGGTCCTCGACCAGGCCTCCACCCCCAGGAAGCAGCCCGTGACAGCTGACTAACACCCAGGTACCTATTTTACTGCTGGTAACGACAGTACAATTGTAATTTGCTTGATATTCAATCTGAACGAGTCAGACATAATGGAAACAAAGTGTTGTAGCTCCCTTGGTAATCGGCAATTATTGTATATTAACATTTAAATCTCTAATGAAAGCAGGAATGTGACCGCTACAGGGAAAGAACTAGAAGGTTTGATGCTGGTAAACTGAATGAAAATTTGATAGATTAAAATAATTTCCACCAAGAGGACCATGGGACACAGACCTGGCACTGAAAATAACACAAGATGTAATGGACTTCTCGCCCAGAAAGGTTGGGAAGCACTAGACAAGTTTGTTTCAGTCCAAAACAGAACACTTGAACGACAAGGATATTTTAACAAACGGAAAGGAAAGATAGGAAAAAATTTAGGGGAGAATTCCTATGCATAAAATGACAGGCCTTGAGGGACAGGACAGGTTTGAGGGACTCGACTGGAGAGTCCAAGAGTCTTCACAATATAAGAAGAGAAAGTCCCCGAGATGAAAGGGACTTCATCTCGGATTAATATAAAAATCAAGGAATAATTTAAAATCAAACAAGAGATTTCCGGGGAGGAAGTAAGGAAGCACTTGTTGAAGCTGGGCATCACTGATGTTGAGTAATGATTGATTGATTAAGATTAAGCCACCCAAGAGGTAGCACGGGCATGAATAGCCCGTAAGTGGTACAATTTTGTTTTCTCAGTATTCTGATGTTGCATTTAACCATCAAGCTGTTATCGCGGGGGAGGATATTGCTTCACAGTCTTTATGAGGGTGTCCAGCTGCTGGACACCTTTGTTGACCAGGAGAGTGGCTGTGTTGATGGCTTCAGGGTGGCCACTGCATGATTCAGGAACTCTTAAAGCTCTTCTAAGGTCATTGGTTGCTTCACATTCCAGAAGATAGTGAAGTAATGGCTTTTCTGTGACAGTTTGGCAGAAGATGCACTCTCTCTGTCGGGGTTCACCAATCTCCCAGTTGCATCTGTAACCTAGACGTGTTGAGTAATTGATTGATTGATGAAGATTAAGCCACCCAAAAGGTGGCACGGGCATGAATAGCCCGTAAGTGGTGGCCCTTTTGAGCCATTACCAGTATCAAGAGCTGATACTGGAGATCTGTGGAGGTGCGACTGCACCCTGCGTGACGGGAGATGTCTCCCGTGTGTTGAGTAATGTCACCAAGATACTGAAATACTGATACTGGGAGAGGTGTACCAAGATACTGGGAGAGGTGTTCCAAGATACTGTGAGAGGTGTACCAAGATACTGGGAGAGGTGTTCCAAGATACTGAGAGAGGTGTTCCAAGATACTGAGAGAGGTGTTCCAAGATACTGAGAGAGGTGTTCCAAGATACTGAGAGAGGTGTTCCAAGATACTGAGAGAGGTGTTCCAAGATACTGAGAGAGGTGTTCCAAGATACTGAGAGAGGTGTTCCAAGATACTGGGAGAGGTGTTCCAAGATACTGAGAGAGGTGTACCAAGATACTGGGAGAGGTGTTCCAAGATACTGAGAGAGGTGTTCCAAGATACTGGGAGAGGTGTTCCAAGATACTGGGAGAGGTGTTCCAAGATACTGGGAGAGGTGTACCAAGATACTGGGAGAGGTGTTCCAAGATACTGAGAGAGGTGTACCAAGATACTGTGAGAGGTGTACCAAGATACTGAGAGAGGTGTTGCAAGATACTGAGAGAGGTGTTCCAAGATACTGGGAGAGGTGTACCAAGATACTGAGAGAGGTGTACCAAGATACTGGGAGAGGTGTACCAAGATACTGAGAGAGGTGTACCAAGATACTGAGAGAGGTGTACCAAGATACTGAGAGAGGTGTACCAAGATACTGGGAGAGGTGTTCCAAGATACTGTGAGAGGTGTACCAAGATACTGGGAGAGGCAACGGAGGCGCATGGGCTGAGAATAGCTTTCTTGGTAGTTTATATTGTGTTAAATCCAAAACGATACTTAGAGCCAAGCATAAGCGAAGCACTTGTAACTTCTAAGAGATGTACATGGGAACTCTACAACCATTTATGGAATATCATATCAACTGAGCTCAGGATTATTGTATTTTCTTTTTTTTTATATAATATAAAATATTAAGCACTAGTGTCCCAAAAAATTTGTATAAAAACTTAAACTAACGTCTTGCCTGCTATTAGCTAAAGTGCCCAAGCGGTCCTGGTGTTATGACAGGTGTGTGGCTGGTGAGTTCCGGCTGCTTGGGTGACACACCTGCCTCCACCCACACACCTGGGTAACCCCTGATTCTCCCTCCACACATGCTTAACCTTTATCTTCCAGAGGTGTATAAGGGTGAAGAAAAAGGAAAGAGAGAGAGAGAGAGAGAGGGAGTGAGTGAGGAATTGAGAAAAACAATTGACTTATACACTCTTACCTATAAATGGAAATGTATATACTGCTATTAGCTTTATATTTAAGTACTGTATATACAATTTATATTTAATCAAACACTTCACATGGCCTAGATGCAGGTGCTGGAGCAGCCGAGGTGATGGTGAAGGTATAGTGACCTCCGGCACCTCACCCCAGCCCCCCACCACCACCACGCCCACCTCTGTCCACGCCCACGTCATCAGCCACGCCCACACCAGGAGCCTTCACGACGACAACTGCAGCGAGAGAGCAGCACCCGATGTACTCAGGACAATTAATGGTAATATCGGAAACACCTTCACTTGCTTTCTTGGTTCCACCACTATCATAACCACCATCACAACCACCACCACCTAGCTCACCACAATTATGGTAGTAGTATGCTCCAGGTACAATATAAAGGTAGTGGAAAAGAAAGTAAGAAAGGAAAAGGAAGGAAGGAAGGAACAATACAGAAGGGCAATGGAGGAATCAAGCAGGTAGAGAACGTAACTGAAAATTGTAAAACCAGATAAAATATTGTAATATATATATTAAAATATATAAAAGCAGATAGTTAAATTAAGTGATAGTCTGTAAGACCCAGGAAGTGTTAAAATGCACAAAACAGGAGTTGGAAAGGGTAGAGATCTGTGGTAATCTACCAGTGCCAGATGGAAACACATGACAAAAGATAAGAGACCAAAAAGATATTACATAAATTCTCAAAAAACTAAATTATTAGGCAATTTTTAAAATAGAACATTACTGAAGGCGAGGAAGATTTCAGAATGAACGGAATCGACCAATGAACATACTCTTAAGGACAGTACTCCAGTAAAATATAATAATTATAATGTAATGCATTGTGTCGGGGGACAGGCAGCCAGAGTGTATTCATACACGTTAGGTTTATATTGAGAGAAGAACGTTATCAGTAACCTGCCATGGGAGAGAATTTGAAGGGAAGACAAGTGAGGTGATAGAATTCATAGTCCATTAATGTGCACGTGAGTAATGTTAACAGGGCACATGAGTAATCTTAACGGGGCACATGAGTAATCTTAACGGGGCACGTGAGTATATATATATATATATATATATATTAAGCGTTCTTGCATTCTTGTAAAGCCACTATAGCACACATGACATTTTGGACCAAATCGTTTAACAACCAGGGTACCCATTCACTGCTGGGTGAACAGAGACTACAGTTCAGGATTAGCACCCAGTCAATCCTCTCCAGCCCGGATACGATCCCAGGCCAAAGCGCTCGCAAAGCGTCGGCCGAGTATTTGACCACTGCGCCACGGGGACTGCAAATTAGTTAGTGCAAATTAGTTAGGGACTGTTAATTAGTTAGGGACTGTTAATTAGTTAGGGACTGTTAATTAGTTAGGGACTGTTAATTAGTTAGTACCTTTAACACATAGGAGTAAACCCACACAAACGCAGTACTGAACATATTGTTTACAAACATAATTCTGCCGATAGTGCCTTGAGAACCACCTAAACGCTTACTTACCCCCAACAAACATTTATAAAGTAAATCGTAATGTGTGTGCAAGTACTTTCTTTTACCTTAATGTATCTTGTTATAAATGTTTCTTATGATTTTTGGATATACAGTGAGAAATATATCCCATTCTTTTTTTTGTTTTTGGCTTGTTGGATAACACTGTCTTTCCCAGAAACAGCTGAACTTTTGGACACCCAGATATGTCCTGAGATAATACCAGCCCGTGTCCCACCACCGCCTTATTCACGCTCTCAGGTATGTCCCATATGCATGTCCCAGTTATTTTGTAATAGCTAAATTATTATTTATGCACTTCGTGTGTATGTGTGTGTGTGTGTGTGTGTGTGCTCACCTATTTGTGCTTGCGGGGGTTGAGCTTTGGCTCCGCCTCTCAACTTTCAATCAACTGGTGTACAGGTTCCTGAGCCTACAGGGCTCTATCATATCTACATTTGAAACTGTATGGAGTCAGCCTCCACCACATTACTGCCTAATTCATTCCATCCGTTAACTACTGACACTGAAAAAGTTCCTTCTAATGTCCCTGTGGCTCATGTGGGCACTCAGTTTCCACCTGTGTCCCCTTGTTCGTGTCCCACCAGTGTTGAATAGTTTATCCTTGTTAACCCGGTCGATTCCCGAGGATTTTGTAGGTTGTGTTCGTGTCTCCCCTTACTGTGTCTTCCAGTATCGTAAAGTGCATTTCCCGCAGCCTTTCCTCTTAACTCATGCCTCTTAGTTCTGGGACTAGTCTAGTGGCATACCTTTGGACTTTTTCCAGCTTCGTCTTGTGCTTGACAAGGTACGGGCTCCATGCTGGGGCCGCATACTCCAGGATTGGTCTTACATATGTGGCGTACAAGATTCTGAATGATTCCTTAGACAGGTTCCTGAACGCTGTTCTGATGTTAGCCAGCCTCGCATATGCCGCAGACGTTATTCTTTTTATGAGAGCTTCAGGAGACATGTTTGGTGTGGTGTGTGTTTTCTTGCAAGTGCTTGTGTTTATTTTAAGAATATTTTACATGCATGTCCAATGCTTGATTATAAACCTAAGAGTCTTGAGCTGCACCCGATGAAAGTCTGCAAGAAGCCTGGTACTACAAGGAAAAATCTTGCAGTAGTCTACTAGACGACTATCCAAGGGGAAAAATCTTGCAGTAGTCGCCATAAGTAAGTACCATTCGGGAGGTTAGAGATAGCCTAAAGTACTCTATTCCTTTGAGATGTATTTTATTTTGTCTCAAACGTACTTGGAATAGTATTCTTCAGTTGTGTCTGGGATTGAGCCTTGTGGAGGGCTAAGGTCCTTAACGGATGCGGCTTAAGAGGGTTAAATGTAAAAGCTAAATGTTACCATAAAATTTATTTACTCTCCCACCTACTTCAAAATATGCGGCTTGGTTTCATTTAAGTGTCTAGAAAAATTTCTGGGACAAGTTCAATGGAGGAATTAAGAGAGCAACACTTAGCAAAATGGCTGTAATTGACAAGTTGATGCAATTATTAGTATACGGGATTATTACGATACCGACTAAGGGGATAATCACTAAAACACATCCAATGGTTTATAGATAAGTGAATATACATTAAAATCCCAGAGAAGTTTTGAGTAAAGATATTAACTTACACCTCTACTCCCCTAAGAGAAGTTAACAGCTACTTGCTCACAAGGGGACCTAGTTAACCAAGATGCCACTGGCTAGAATGTTTCCTAACCTTCTAATTTATGTAACTGCTCTACCAGGTACATGACAGCATATAGTCTAATGAATAAGTATGTAAAGTGATGGTTAGCCGACTCACTACCGCTATAGGGGATTGTGACCATTTCTGGATCTTTCATGTGCGCTCTATGACGCTATGATTCTCCGCTACTGTCACAAGGCAGTTATTATACAAGTGGATTCCAAACATATCCCCATAATATTTGGCTTTAATTACATTATTCCATACCGTCACCGGTAATGTGTTCCATCCCGAACCATGGGATGCCTCAGACCATGGGATGCCTCCCACACCTGGCACTGGACTGTCCCAGGCTGTTTTTCATAGTCCCTCACCTTTTATTACACTTAATTATTTTAATTTGTTAAGCAGTTTCCATTCAAAAAATTCTTTTCTTCCTATTGTTATTTGCAAGAACATTGTTTATCTCTGCTCTATTTGTATTAATTCAGTCTTAATCCTCCTTAGACAGTTTCTCTGGAGCCTCAACACTCATAATATTCTAAAGTGTTCACGAGGCGTCTTAATGTTACAAACTCCTCGTAATCTGTTCTTTATAGGCTGATCGTACCCAAGCTCAGAGGACCCTAACCTTGGTGGAAATATAGTATGATGTTAAAAGGTAATATTAAAAGAAAAAACACTTAAAATATCCCGTTATTATTTCCATTAGAACCCAAATATACAACGCCAGGAGAGGTCAAACGGATCGGCGTTGCTAGCCCTTACACTAGCCTGCTTCACGGCTGACAATCACAGTGCTTCTGCGGAGGTAGTCTTTGCGCACTCGCTGGTACGGCCAACCAACAAAGTCAGCAACACTCGACCAGCCCCACTGGTTAGTACCTTCCAAACACGAAGTCTACAGCGCTCTTCTAGCCCCACTGATTAGCACCTCCAGGGGTAAAATCCACAGCGCTCGACCAGCCCACTTGGCTAGACCATCCAGGAGTAAATTCACAGTGCTCGACCAGCCCACTTGGCTAGACCATCCAGGAGTAAAATCCACAGCGCTCGACCAGCCCACTTGGCTAGACCATCCAGGAGTAAATCCACAACGCTCGACCAGCCCACTTGGTTAGTACCTTCAGGTCGACCTCTGTCTTCCACTGTCCCGGCTTCACTGCTTCCCCTAGCTTGCCTCTGGTCTCTCGTCACCTTTCAGCCTGGCAGACTAAAAGATGGGAAGCTATGATTACTAGGAGGGTCAACTTGTATAGTTCGGCACCCGGATCATAGATGGCGCCGAGGTCCGTCACAGAGGACTTTGACATTTAATGTGACTCTGATCTTCAATTTATCGCCAAATGGAACATGTATATGACCAAATCCACAAGGGCCGTGATGAGGGGTTCGAGCTTACGCCCGGGATGATCCCGGACGCTGCCTTAGTCATTAACTAGCTAACTTAGTCATTAACATTGAAATCCCTTGCGTATATTTTAATTTGATGCATCACGCTTTTGTGATTTCTGTGTGTAACATGTATATCTTTGTTACAGCCTTGATGCTGACGGAGATAGCACAAAGATAGATAGATATAACTACAAAAAAGACACTATACCAAGTTAATTTTTGAGACATTATAAATGGCTTGCATCTATAGTAGATGCAAATTGGGATTAACAAATCTAAAGCAGTAATGGGTGAACACTAGGGGCCAGATTCATGAAAGCACTTACGCAAGCACTTACGAACGTGTACATCTTTCCTCAATCTTTGACGACTTTGGTTACATTTATTAAACAGTTTACAAGCATGAAAACTTCCCATTCGACTGTTGTTATTGTTATAAACAGCCTCCTGGTGCTTCGGAGCTCATTAACTGTTTAATAATTGGAAACAAAGCCGCCAAAGATTGAGAAAAGATGTACAGGTTCGTAAGTGTTTGCGTAAGTGTTTTCGTGAATCTGGCCCCAGAGCACTTAAGATGCTGTAAAGATTAGAATAACCGATAATCATAACATCACTATACCTAGCTGTATTTTTGGCATATTTTGTTGGACATGTTCCCTCCATTGTGTTTCCTTGTCGTGGTGAGAGGGCTCACGGACACCTCTCTGGGACCAGTGAGGGTTGCCACCGCCCCCTTTCCTGTCCCTCTTTGGGAGTTGTAGTGCAAAAGAACACAAACGTAGGTGTCATGAGAGCCAATGGATCACCCGCTGAAGGGATCACCCGTGAGTGGCTACCCAAAGTGGATGGCTGGGTGTTCAGGCTGGGGCAAAAGGGAGAATGAGGTCTTTGCACCAGTGTAGGAGAATGAACGAAGCAGTAGGACTCTCCTGTTAAAAAAGAGGGAGCACCGCTGGGGACGACACACCCCCTTCCTGCACTGACTCGCGCTCAGCCTCCCTGGCTGCCCTGGTAGGTGGTATCCCTTGGTTCCAGGCCCCAGACCTTTTAAAATACATGATATATGGATACTGACACGACCTCTCTTACCCAGGCTCATAAGGTGGGTGACCAGGCCCCTGAGTCGGACTGTGATGGAAGACTGGGTTCTGTAGCCCCTGCTACATTGGGCCAGACCGGACTTCTCCCCCTCCCCCCTGCTCCCCTCTCTCCTCTGTGGCAGGGTCGAATCCCAAGCCTCCAGTGGTGACCACTTCGTCCCCTGGGCATGGCTCCATCTCTCATTGTGACTACTGCGCCTTTTAACCACTCTCTCTCTCTCTGGGGGTTCTCAACGCCGTCCCCGTCACAGCCACACTCGCACGATCCATTCCCATACTAACCTTGTTTAGTCCTGCTTTATGGGCTAAATATTTTGATCTCCACCATCTGGATTCTACTCCTCCTGACGATTTCTCCCTTCATAAACACCTTGTTGATTCGGTAGATGCCTTTGTTACTTTTAACCCCACCCGTATCGGTACATGTGTCGTCGCTGCTCCTTCTCAGGATGCAGCTACCCACTTAGCTGCATTGTTCTGCATTCGGGAGATCCCTGTTCAAGTCTCCAAAAACACTCGGTTGAATGCCAGTGTTGGCACTGTTCTCCTCCCGCACCATGTTGCAACTGGTGTTAGGGACCTAAATGACTGCCATGAGGATATTAAAAATATCCTCGAAGCCCAGGGCCATTCTGGCCTCCAGGTAGACACGTTCACTCGACCCGCTCATGGTCGTCGCTCTCAGCCCCTTCGAGTTGTGAAAATCACCTTTGATAGTAGGATCCTTCCGCCCTTTTTAATTCTTGCCGGTGCCAGATGCTCCATTCAGGAATACATTCCCTCTCCTAGACTTTGCAATAAGTGCTGAAAGTTCAGGCATGGTGTCCTCAAATGCACAAGTACTGTGTATCTATGCCCCGTGTGTGGGGAGGATGATCACTCGTAAGTCCGAGTAAGTCCCCAGGCTCACTGCCTCAATTGCGGTGAGGCCTACCCTACCTTCTCCCGCTCATGTATACACTACAAACTTGAGGAAGCCGTCCTCAACTTGAAACACTAGGATCGTCTGTCTTTTCCTGAAGCGAGACACCAAGTTTGCCGTCTCACCCCTTTTGCTGGCGTATCCTATGCTTGTGTGTTGCGTTCTACCTCTCCTCATCCTTCCCACCTTACTCAGTCTTACAACTGTTTCCAGGCCTTACACCCAGACACTCCCACTGCCTTCTCCCCTGTTCCTTTACGTTCTGTCCCAAAGGGGACCCCCCTCCTGCTTCTCCATCTGGAGTTTCCCCCCTTCCTACCCAGTCTGCCATGTTTCCTGTATCTTTCCTTTCTTTCCCCGATCCTTCTGCACATCCCTCCCCCTTCCCCCTCCCGGTCTCTTGGCCTTCCACGCCGCCTGTCCAGGCTGATGTCCATCATCCTCCCAGCAATCTTCATGTTGTTCACTACCGTTCATCTTCTCCTGTTGAGACAATTGAGTCTGTCGCCCAGTACGTTGTTGCTGGAACACCTGTCTCTTTGAGTCAGAAACGTAAACCTGGCTCCTCTCCTTCGTCCTCCCCCGGCAGGTAAAAAGGCATCGCTTTCTTCCTCGCCCCCCACCTCTGACTCCCTCGCTCCGTCCCCTCCCACTTTGGTGGTCGGGCCCCCTGTCCCTGCTATAGAGGTTTCTTTAGCCCCTGATTCCCTCTAGGTTGCTGCCCTTGCTGAGGTGCGCTCCCCGGTTTCTGCCCCCCCCCCCCCCTGCTGTCCTTGACCGCCCCTCTCGGTTGTCTCCTCCTCCTCCGGACCCTACCCGTCTGCCTCTGGTTTGTCCTCCCGCTCCCTTCACTCCATCCTTACTCAGTTTACCCATGCCCCCTAACCCTGACTTTGCTGACCCTGATCCTGATCCTGAACTTATTTAATATGCTGTGTTCCTCTTTACCTTTGTTTCTTCATTGTTCTCTGTTGCTGTCCTTTCTTTTTTTGCTTAAGCACCTACTGGACTCCTTGCCGGAGCCTGTGCTCCTGTTGGGTGATTTCAACTGTCGACATGCCCTCTGGGGTGATGATTTGACAAACATCTGAGGCTGCCTTCTCGAACCGTTTGTCCTCTCTTCTTCCCTGTCTCTTCTGAATTCTGGTGAACCCATTCATGTGGACTCTCGCACCTTTTCTGCCTTGATCTTTCTCTCTGCTCGTCATCTCTTTACTTAGATTTCACATGGCGGCCTCTTGATGACCTCCATAACAGTGACCATTTCCCCATCCTTGTTACCTTTTTCCTTTTCACCCTCCTCTTTTCTTCCCTAGGTGGCAGTTTGCCAAGGCTGACTGGAAGCTATTCACGCTCAGTGCTACTCTCTCCAACCTCTCCGCTCTGCCTCTCCCTCGTGCCCTCCTCCTTTTTCATGACACTGTTTTTAACGCTGCCCTCTGCTCTATTCCTCGCTCTACCTCCCAGGGCACGCGGAAGTACGTTCCCTAGTGGAATGCAGACTGTACTCGGGCTGTCCGCTGTAAGCATGCAGCCTGGAAGAAATACCGACGCCGGCAGACGGCTGATTCTTTTATTTTGTTTCGGAAGGGAAATGCAGTGGCCAGTAGGACCATCTGTACAGCTAAACGTGGGAGTTGGAAATCTTATGTTTCCACCATTATGTCCAATACTCCTCTGCCGCAGATCTGGAAGAAAATCCACAAGATAGTGAGTAAGTTCGTTCCAGATGTCTCACCGGTCCTTCACCTCTGTGGTGCTCTTGTGGCGGTATCCACAAGAGCACCACAGAGGTGAAGCTCGGTCGCGAGCTTCACACTCCAGTTAAGCTCGAGACCGAACTGGGTTCCCACTTTTCTTCTGTTAGTTCTGGTTCTCATCTTCCTCAATCCTTCCTTCCTTCATAAGCCCATTGTTGAATCTCATCCCTTAGATTTCCACACTGATCTCCGCCTTCCCTATAGTGATCCTTTCTCTCTCTGAACTTCAGTCTGCCCTGGCCCCTCTGCGATTCTACGGCAGCGGACATGGATGACATTCCTTATGAGATGCTTCGCCATCTAAATCCTTGTTCATCTCAGTATTTACTGAGTCTGTATAACCAGGTCTGGGAGTCATCGTCAGTCCCTGAGGACTGGCTCGATGCCGGTGTACTCGCTATTTGGAAACCAGGGTCTCTCGGGACATCCCCTAAGGACCTCCGCCCTATTGCCCTCACGAGTTGTGTCTGTAAACTCTTTGAACGTATGGTTAATGTTCGTCTGATGTGGTTCCTGGAACACCATCACCACCTCTCCCCTTCTCAATTGGGTTTTCGCAAATACCGCAGCACAACTGATGTCCTGGTGAACTTCGAGGTCTATATTTGTACTGCTTTTGCTGCGAAGACCTCCATTGTTGCCGTCCTTTTTGACCTGGAAAAGGCTTATGACACCACCTGGAGATACCATATTCTGTCCCAACTTCGCTTTTTTGGCCTTCGTGGTAATCTCCCTCTCTTCCTCCAAAGCTTCCTCTCTTGTCGTTCCTTTAGAGTCAGGCTTGGTGCCACTCTCTGCCTCTTTTCGGCAATATGATAGTGTACCCCAAGGTAGTGTGCGTGTATCTTGCTTTCCGACTGTCCCCCGAGGTTACTTGTCCTTCAATAGAATTTGTGGTGAATCGGATACTTTTGGTGTCATTCACCCTATGCGTTTCTGTTCTCATATTGGCATCCTCAGTAATATTTAGCGCCCTCTGATTGTTCCGCACATTTAATGATGCTATATAACCTTCCCGGCTAATTGGTGCCTTCTTTGATAATTACTTACTTCGTTGGGCATGACAATAATGTGGTTTTGTTGTTGCAGACGGTACCGGAGGAGTCGCTGCAGATGGCGCCACTGGTCCCCACTACTACCTCGACTGCTAGTGTTGGGGCGGCAGGACTGGCCCTCTACCGGGACACGGGCAGCCCGCTCCACCTCCTTCATGACGAGAGCTTCGTGTAGGCGCGGCCCTCCTCCCCTCCTCTGCCCTCACGCCCACCTCCCCACCCGCCACTGTTTTATACAGGATGAAGACGGACCGAGGCGCTGAGGGGGTGAGTTGGGGAGACCTCCCCTCGTTTTGTATTCACGTTCATAAGTATATATCTACTAACAGACGGCTTCTCTTGGACTGTGTGAAGGGTCATAGAGTTTGTCAAGAGTGATGTGATGCTAAAGTTACACTAACAATACCCATCTCGCAGGGTGGTTAACCATACAGGGGAGTGTGATCTGTAGCCGCCACTGGCAAATATTCGATGCTTTGTAAGTATATCCTTAAGAACACCAACAATGGATAGTGATTGCAGTGTTCCAGGTGCTTGGTACCGGCAGGTCTGAAAGGTCTAATGACTGGATATTCAGTAATGTAGTGAGAGAGATCATGACACAGTTCCTGCTCAGTTTTTACACCTGGAGTGTTCCGGATTGGGAGATTAGTCATCTCACTCACCTGTAGCCACCTGTCACATTGTTGCACTAACATGTGTTCGTGCATCTACACTTCATGCAGCTGCCTTCACCACGTGAAGTGACATAATGTGTGTCAAGAGTTATGCTGGGACATGCTAAAAAAAATTATCCCCTTTTCCCAGGATGGTTATTGTCATTCCTAGTGACTACTGATCACTACACGTGAGCATGTGGCCTTGTGGAATTTTGTGGAACCTTGTGGAACTCTACCATCATACCTTGTGAGGTATGATGGTAGGTGGCCTACCATCCTTGTTGACCCACACCCCTTCCTGGTGCCCAAAATCTCACTTATAAGGGAACTTGTACAACATACTGTACATCCGGCCCTTCATGATCAAGCAATTTTTGTTGTGATTAAAACCTTTATTTGTAAGACAGGAAAAAGGAGAGAGAACTTGCTGACGATTATTCCCTTTGGGGTCGCTGCCAGGGAGGAGGTGGAGTGTGCGGCGTTGGAAGCGCGTGTGCGCACCTGTACAGGATGACGGTGACGGAGGAGGTGACGACAAGTGTCCAGACGGGCAGGTGTTGGGCCTCCTGGCGGGTAGGTGGGTGGCCGCCCGCCCCGGCCCGCCCCACGCCACCCATGCACACACACACGACCGCCTCGCTCTCTCTACCACCTGTGTCGCTCCTGGTGAGTTTACAGTAGATTAGATTTTTTATTCAGGTTAAAGTACATACATTGAAGATGAGTTACAAACATAATGTTGGATTTAAAGATTGAAGTAGTACATACAATACCTAAAGCCACTAGTACGCATAGCGCTTCGGGCTCCCTAAGTTGGGAATTAGAGGCTCCCTAAAGCAGGCTCCAGTTCCAAGAGCACACGGAAGGTTAAGGCTAGGGAGAGAGTGGAGAAGAGGACGTATATTAATTTATTTTGATACAAAGGTGTATATCAGGACACAGAACCACCAACACACACATGGAGGAATTTAGTCACTGGCTGTTCTTCGTCAAGACTACCAGCAGCTACTTCGGCAAGGGAGGCCCCCAGCAGGTTCCTTCCTGGTAGAGGAAGGGAAGAAATAAAAATAAATGGTTACAAAAATGTGAGGAATATGAATTGAATTATGAGAAGATTAGTCAATTATAATTAGGAAGTACGGAGCAAGAATTCATACTAAATATTTCTAATTACCTTCGAGTATTTATACAGTACTTTGCTTGTCATGTAGAATCTAGTTAGCTTCGTTCTCTACTCGCAATCTGAGATCCCTGGGGTTCAAGTCCCTGGCGGGACAAAACAATGGTTGGAGACATTCCTTTCACCTAATGCCGCTGTTTACCTAGCAGTAAGTAGGTACTCAGGAGTTAGGCAGATTTTGGGAGATAAATCCTGGGATGGGTCAGCAGTACGGCCTTGGGGTCGGGGGAGGCGGGCGGACCTCCATACAAGGCTAAAATATAAACAAATCCACAAGGGCCGTGACGAGGATTCGAACCTGCGTCCGAGAGCATCCCAGAATATATCTAGTCTTTCTGTCGTGACAAAAGAAATTATTGAATTATTCCATTACAATAGAGAATCCTAGCAAAGTTGCAACGTTGCCAGAACGGGTTTTTAAAGTTATTACAAGTTTGTAGCGACATGAAACTTACAAAACTTAGTTGTGTGTTTGTTGGAATGTCAGTCCCAAGAAATTAGGTGCTAAAACACATTGTTTTGTTGTTAAACTGTGTCAACAAAATTATTCGCACACCCTGCGTCACTATGTGATGGAGTGCGAAAAGATACGTGAATTTAGAGACAATTCTATAACCAATGTTGCAGCGATGTGTAAATATTTCATTGAAAATGATCTGCTACCAGAAATAAAATTTTTGTTGCAGATGTGTCCAGCAGGCTGGCCAAGTGGGAACGCTGCCGTGTACCACCTCGCAAGATGGGAAGGCGGCTAACAAAAATCTGCCAATTTGAAAGCAGAAAGAAATGTATATTGTCAAGTTAAGTCATAAAAATACTGTATCAACACCACTAAAGCTGAAAGGTCGGTAGGGTGAAGGGGCCACCGAATATACCAGATGATTTAACAAATTTATTTTTATCAGGTTCAGAAGATCTGTGTAACACGGTTAGAGGCGGGGGGGGGTAATAGGCATGTGTACTGATGGCCGTGTACACTGCTCTGTATTTAGAGGTGTACATGTGGTTACTTCCTTGTGTGGTACAGTAATAAGACGTTGACCAAGATCCGGCTATAGGGAGTTTCAAGACAAACTCCCTCCCAGGACTGGACAAGAATTGTTGTAAGTGAACCAACAGGGGCTGAACTGAGCTAACAGAAGCTACAAACAAAATTACACCAAAAAATACCAGGAGCCTTGATGAGATATTGTGGAAGATGTATAGCAAGGAGACAAAAAGGAAGAAAGGAGGAAGGAGGTGTAGACGACGCCTGGCAGTCAACACAACTGTGATAAGGCACCGTCCATGCCATACCTGTTGCCCCTCACCCCCCCCCCTCATCTAGCTTTTGTTTTATTTAGTAATGATGACACAGCCGAAGGCACTGTTGGCAGCTGATTCCCAGTAGCGAGTCAAGAGGGGTGACCAAACAGAATCCAAATTTATTTTATTTTATTTTTATTTTATTTTTTATTTATATATATACAAGAAGGTACATTGGGATTGTGAGGATACATAGCATAGTAATTACAATCTTGTAAAGCGGTAACTTTATTCGTAACTGATGCAAATCATTGTAATATTGGCTTTACCACCACCATTACACATTTCGTTGTGTACATACATTTCCAAATGTCCAGTGTTGTAGTCTTGTACTTAATGAACATGTTGTAAATGGCTCAGTAAAAGGTAATAATGCTAGCATTATGGAGTGATCTGGAGGGACTCAATTTACCAGGTGGTAGTCTTCTGTTTTAGGCAGGCCAGGGCAGGCCAGGGCAGGCCAGGGCAGGCCAGGGCAGGGCAGGCCAGGCCAGGGCAGGGCAGGCCAGGGCAGGGCAGGGCAGGCGGTTGGTGTATATACTGTATATTGCTTGAATGTTAAAACTGATCCTTTGTATATCTGAAGATGTTTTAGAATATAAAAAAAAACAAGAATTACTGTTTCTCTTCCTTGTCTTGCCGAATAGTTGTGCTGACTATGGCTGGGTTGAGCATTGACGCAAACCATGACTGAGTTGAACACTAAAACAGGCCACAACAACTTTAAATCAAAGGCTCAAAAATTTGTAGAAACTATATAAACATCAATATTGTCGAGGGGAAACAAAAAATATATAATTCCATTTGTCAGAATGTTTCGTCTGCGTGTGCACCAGAATTATCCGGCTCCAGGTTAGCCGCCTTCGTGGCGGAGGGCCACGATTTCTCATTACCTAGATGAGAAATTATGGCCTCATTAACTAGTTCAGGGGGTTCTCTACAGCCCTAAATAAACTGGAGCTGGATTCATCAAGCAGTTACAAAAGTACTTAAAAACCTGTATAGGTTTTCTCATTTCTTGGCGGCTTTGTTTTCATTTATGAAACTGCTTGCGTTCCGAAGCACAAGGAGCCTGTTTATAATAATATTTGATTAGTGTAAGTTTCGAGGCTCGTAAACTGTTTTAATATATGTGGCGTGGCGAGGGGGGGGGCGGAGGTAGCGTGGGAGTGGGAGGGAGCACTGGGAGGTGGCGTGAGAGTGGGGGGGGCACAGGGAGGTGGCGTGGGAGTGGGGGGGGCACAGGGAGGTGGCGTGGGAGTGGGGGGAGCACTGGGAGGTGGCGTGGGAGTGGGGGGGGGGGCACTGGGAGGTGGCGTGGGAGTGGGAGGAGCACTGGGAGGTGGCGTGGGAGTGGGGGGCACTGGGAGGTGGCGTGGGAGTGGGGGGAGCACTGGGAGTGGGGGGGCACTGGGAGGTGGCGTGGGAGTGGGAGGAGCACTGGGAGGTAGCGTGGGAGTGGGTGCAGCACTGGGAGGTAGCGTGGGAGTGGGGGCAGCACTGGGAGGTAGCGTGGGAGTGGGGGCAGCACTGGGAGGTAGCGTGGGAGTGGGGGGCAGCACTGGGAGGTGGCGTGGGAGTGGGGGGGGGCACTGGGAGGTGGCGTGGGAGTGGGGGGAGCACTGGGAGGTAGCGTGGGAGTGGGGTCAGCACTGGGAGGTAGCGTGGGAGTGGGGGGAGCACTGGGAGGTAGCGTGGGATTGGGGGGGAGCACTGGGAGGTAGCGTGGGAGTGGGGGCAGCACTGGGAGGTGGCGTGGGGGTGGTGGGGGCACTGGGAGATAACATGGGAGTTAAAGTAGCGAATTTACTTGAGATCATTATGTTTCTAGTGGCGTCGACGGGGACTGGAAAGTGGCGGCTTGTCAAAGGCCCTCTCCCAGACATCTTTCCTGGTGGGGGTCCAACTAAAGCATTAATCTAAAGTAAAAATCTCTACGGAAGTAGGAGAAGCTCGGTATAAGAGTTTAGAGAGAGAGAGAGAGAGAGAGAGAGAGAGAGAGAGAGAGAGAGAGAGAGAGAGAGAGAGAGAGAGAGAGAGAGAGAGAGAGAGAGAGAGAGAGAGAGAGAGTGAGAGTGAGAGTGAGAGTGAGAGTGAGAGTGAGAGTGTGAGTGTGAGTGTGTGAGTGTGAGTGTGTAAGAATACTCAATATGATTTATCGAGTATCAAGTACATATACTTTGCAAGAAATTAATATGTTCGTTTATTTTGTGGGCGCATATTTTATGGGTAGTGATGGAGAGTATATTTAGTCAATGGTTCAGGAACGTGGATAAGATTGTTGGTAGTATATTATTTTGAATGAAGAACTAATCATGGTGGTATATGTGTTCGCTTTACAACGGTGCAATGTATGAAAGTTTTAATGAAACTGTGTATAGGTATGGGAACAATTGTCCGGTAATTAGAGTAGTTAATGGTTGGGGAGGTAGTTACCGGCGGAGGCAGCGCCTCCATCGAGGTCTTGTATTCAAAATCAAATATATTCCAACCGTTCATATATCGTGAATACCGTTTGGCAAAACATTTGTATTATAGATGGTAAATAATACAAATTTGTTATTTTGAATGATGTATTGGAAACATAAACTGCGGGACAGCGTTTAATTGGTTATTGCATGAGCTTGTGACGTCAGAAGAGATGTGGTGCCTGGAGACGGTCGACCTGGTCAGTGGTCGGCGGGAAGGCGCCGGAGAAGGACGTGGTCGTCACCTCTACGCTGGAGAATACTTTATCTTCACTGAAGTTAAGCTTGGCGACGTTCTACATTATTCCGGTGAGAACATTTGTGAGTTTTTTTACTATTTATTAAACGTGTTTCTCGGGCAGCCGGCTACAGATTGCAAAACTGTGATAGACTTAACCAATTCGTTTATTTATAATATAAAGGTGGAAGAATCTTTTCCTGAGGATTCTCCCATGAGCTTAGGTGGTAGTCTTAGTTTTAGTAATCTTTTATTTCTAAAGTTATAATTATTGTAAAGATGGGGCAAGTTTCATATTTCCAAAATAAGGGGGGGGGGGGAAGTTTCCCTTGGTGTAGATTGACAATTTAGTGGTAAATCTGGCTCGTTGATTACGAACATTTTTAATAACCTTCATCATACCTGGCGTATTGACAATTTAGTCGGTGCGTTTAGTTTGTTTTTTAAGTAAAGAATATTATAATTTTCATTGCTCGATTTAAACATTAGTTCGTACAGCATCTGGTTTTGTAGTAATTATTGTGAAATCTTAAAGTAATTATAAAGTTCCAGCATGCTACTTTGGCGCTCAGTTCAGGAAATGTCGGCTAAATATAATTACTAAAGGGCCATTAACGGCAATAGTGAGAACGGGAGCTGGTGACCTGTCGAAGGTTCCTCCCCCACACGTGATGTAGTAGAGGCGCTAAATGAAATTGCTATACAATTACTTCTATTAACTAGTTTACTGGTCCCCTGACAGGTTGTGGAAGGTCCCTACAACAGTCTGGTCAGAAGGAACTTCTTTTACTGAAAGATTATGGTAAGTGTTACTTTTGTACAGGGCAAAAGTAAAATTTTACCCATAAATTAGTTTTATAGGACATTTTGTCCCAAAATGGTAACATTTATTTGAAGGGGGGGCCTGAACATTGAAAATAAAAGCCCTGTTTTTCTTTGCCTAGGCTAGTGGGTAGTATATAAAGTTTAGTCTTTGCAAAGTTTTAAATAAAAAAATTCTATTGGGTTATTTGTCCTTAATGCAGACCCTCAACACTAGATGTTTAAGGTAAAATACTTGTGCATTGAAATTAACAAGCTTAACTCTTAAATGTTCAGTTGTTTGGTTTAAAACTTGCTAGGTATGATTACTTAAAGGAAAATTTCTGCAATTTACTAATTACTGTACTGCAATAATTGGTTCCCCTAAAGATCAAGCTAAATATTGACTGGTAGTTGTACTTCAACTTTGTATAAATTAAGTTTAAATACTTTCAGAATTGCTTGGAAAGTGACTCCTTCCTTCAGTTGGGTGTTAATGACTTCAAATACAGAATCAGGTGAGTAATAGTTCAGTATAATTAGAATAGTTTAAGAACTATAACTGTTAATTAAACAATTGAGCATTATGGCAAATATGCTTAAATTTATTTAATTACTTAAAATTGACTAGATTGTTAATGGTACAGTATCAAAGATTTATTAATTTAGTATCATTGTTTTTACTTCTGCCAGACTAGTAAAGGTTGATATAGTAAAAGTAAAGTAACATTATTCTTGAGCATTTAGTTGTATTCTATATTAATTTGAAGTGGTGTTTCAGGTGGCAATGAAGGTTACAAGAACACGGCAGTGAAGATGTTCTACACTGCAAATCTACTGGATGTTGGTGAGCTGAATTAACTTTCTTAGCTATATCAAGTAATTTGAAGATAATATCTAGTCCATTTATGGATATGGGACCAAGTCCTACTGTTACAAGGTTGCTCTGAGCAACCCACAGGGGATGATGCACTTGGTACTGATCCTACCCCATTTCATAGAAGGGGACCAGGCAGTCCTGCAGATTTCCCTGGTTTGGCTTTTTCAGGTGGTTGAGTGTCTAATGGATGGACTAGTGCATAGGTTTAGGGATGTTAACAATGATACTCATTGTTAATTGTAACTCACAGGGCTTGTTCACTGAAAGAGTGGATGCATCTAGAGATTTTGTGCCTTGCATGTCAATGTGGTGTACATTATCCTGTACACCACATTGGTATGACGGCACAAAATCAATGGATGTTTTGCACTCTTTCAGCCAACAAGTTCTGAAATACATGAAGCAAAAGGGGTAGGCCTTGCTGAACCAATCTTAAAAGATTGGTTTTTCGGTTAAGTTGATTATTAGGTGTTAAATTTAATAAAATGACTGTCCCTGTCTGATGTTTTTATTCTTTTACAGGTGCTTCTCCTTGGTACTGGACTTTACTCCCACTGGATTCTTCAGTGCTGGCATTGAGCATCACAACCTGAAAGATTAAATTAAATATTGGAAGATGTATACACCTAATACTTTAATAAATCTATTAATGAAAGTTACTTTTATATGCTTTATCCTTAAATTAGACATAAGATTCAATCATGCTGGAAATTAGTGACTAAGTAATCTGTAAAGATGCAATGTCTAACAGTAAAGACAAACTACCTGAATTATTCTATGGGAAGTTAATTTAAATGAGTGACATGGCTTGGGAATATGAAGTTAAAATTAGTTTCTTTCACTAACTAAAACAAAATGTGAAACTTAGTGATTAATAAAGTAATTACCATGGCAAAGTCTAAAATTTGAACACTTGAAATATTAAAGTAACTATTGTAGTTGATTATTAAATCTAAGAAAGATTTGAACTTTTAGAAGGTTAAGCAATAGCCAAAACCAGTCTGCTAAATAACATTAAGGACATTTTAGAACATCTTTGCTATTAATGTAAAAGACTTAGAACTTTTTCATCCTAAAGGACCTGACACTGCCATCATTCTGGATGCCACTAGGGATACATAAACTGAAGTTATTCTAGAAATTGTTACTGTGGTTCAAATACACATGGCCTTTATAATGGGCAGGTTATATTTCCCTATTGTCACTGAATTCTACAAGAATTAAGATGAATGGGGTTTATCTATCTGCACTTGTCGTAAAAAGGAAGGCTAAAAACATTTTTGATAAGACCCTCTAAAGATGACAAAAGTGCACCAAACCTTCTAAATTAACACGTCAGTATTCAGACATCAAACCCTACAAATGTTAACTGCTGTGTATATATCTAACAAGCACCATAATCAGAGACAAGGCCAAGGTGTCAATTCAAACCAATCTTAAATGAACTGCCAGCCAAACAAACTCCCTAGGTTCATAGATGTTTTGAAAAATAATTCCCTAGATTGCAAATGTCACTCAAATCTTCAAAAAACAAGTAGAAAACTATTGTCAGATTAGTTTGTCCTCACATCTTTAAGGTAATGAAAAGAATTCTGAAGGAGGGAATCTCGTTAAATCAACACAATATGGGTTTCTTAAAAATAAATCTTAACTAATGAACCTACTCACATTTTTTTTTGCAAATGGTAACCAGCTATTCAGACAAGGGACTTCTGGTATGCATGGACTTTGCTTAAGCACCAAATTAAAGACTAAGAGCAAAATAATATGCACATGGTAGATTGGTTAAAACAAAGAAATCAAAGGGAAATCTAAAACTTAAACAAACAATTGGAAAATGCAGTGAGCATCTTACCACAATGGTCTAACCCTTGTCATATACATCAATGACAAAACTAAATATTACAAACCCCATAATCAAATTTGCACACGACACAAAGATTTATGCTTTAGAGAGAAAACAAAATTCGAGGCCTTACAAAGATCTACATGAACTCTCAAAATGGTTAAAAGACTGGCAAATGCTTTTTAATATCAAACAAAATTGCAAGACCTTGCATGCCAGTACAATCCATATCACATTAACATTACAGCAGATCAAACAAAATATAGGACCTTTGAGTAAGAATCCCTCATTCACTCAGAGTTGACCCATTGGGATCTGCCGTAAACAAATACTAACCAAACCCTAGGAATAATCTAGCAAACTTTTGACTTTATGGAAAAGAAGGTATTCTACTGTATAAATCTAAGTAATCACTTAGATTACTGTATCCAAGACACAGACGCCATCTTGAGCTGCTTTCGAAAAAGTTCAACACTGGGCAACAAAAACCATTCCACAACTAACTTGACTCTAATACCAGGAACAACCGAGGGACACAGCTAACAACATTGCAACCCCTCTCCTACCCCCAAGTCTTATGATCCAAGATAAATTGAGATTGACACTTGCTACAGACCAATCCAGCGACAGGGTGACCTCCTGGTGAATAAATTGAAGCATAATACTGTACAGGTGTCAATGGACATCAGTCAGGCCACCTGTCAGCACACTGGAGAACTAATCCACAGTGTTGTATGCCTCCCTGTGGCCACTTTAACCAATACAACACAGGGTTGTGGCCATGTTTACAGCATAAGGTAAGGTAGAGAGGATTCCTCGAATGACAGGTAATGTGTAGTCATTGTATGTGCTTTAGACCCCCAAACAGAATAACATTTCTGGTGTTAGAATATTCTATCAGTTTCTCATTCAGTATAACCTTTTAAACCCAAATAAAAATCCTGTCTATTTAAATGTCTATTTCAAAATTCTGATTACCACATTCCAAATTACTGAGCTCTGAAACCACTACGAGGCAAGTTTAACTGGAGGAGTGTTTGCCTATCCACACCCCGATGAGTTATGTGACAACACTGAATAAAGAAAAGGGCTTTGAGCATTCAGCATGCAACTGTCTGACATGACTTGACCAATATAGCCAGGTGTTCAACATTCTAAACAGTTCTGGACAATCCATATGCTTACATGTAGTATCAAGTAATATAATTGAGCAAGTGTGCTTCGATGATGTTTCCTATTAAAACTCATTCTACAAGTTTTTTGTATTAGACATTTTAAAGCTGTGAGTGGTAGCCCTTGATACCATTCTACTATTATTCCCCCATTACTATTATTGATTCCAAGATGAACAAGGTCAAATCAATGTCAGCAAATGATGAGGGCTTTTCTACACCTGACAAACACACAGGTCTAACACCAGCCATCGCCGAGCGAGGACGTCCCAAGCATGTACACTCCACATCTTCACATCACTTCTGTCACCTCATGCGAGCAAGCAACAGGATGAGGATGCCACACTCTCAAGCCAACATCATGTACTGTTACTTTGAGGCATTAACAACTGAACATTTGAACTAGGGAAAATGCAGACCAAGCCATGAAACTTACAAAGAAGAAAAATGAACTACACACAACTTTCACCAAACTTCCACATACCACCCCACCCTCACTCCTGCCCCCCCCCTCACAAACCATCCTCCCTCCTGCCCCCCCTCACAAACCATCCTCCCTCCTGCCCCCCCTCACAAACCACCCTCCCTCCTGTCCTCCCTCGTACCCCTCACTCCTACCCCCTCACTATCCCACCCTCACTCCTGACCAACCAGTAAACCTGTTCACACTACCCTCACATCTAACTTCAACAATTACTCACTATAGGACAAGGGACTAAAGACGCATTTCCAAATTATCTCAAGTTTTCCTACACAAAATAATCTCTGCAGATCAGTTACCAATTCATTTCTTAAATTCTCATTAAAGAGCAATTCAGCAACTACTAGGCATATGCTGTTTTATAAGATTTGATATTAAAATTGCTTTGCATAAAGCAACAAGCATGGTAGAAGTTTTTACCTGCCCTACTAACCAAAATTTATATACTGTATATATATATATATATATATATATATATATATATATATATATATATATGCATTTACACCTCACATTATCAAAAAGGGGCTAGTCTAACTCCTTTGCACCACGGCAACCAGGATCACTGACTTAGAACAACCACTTTGATTCACAGCCATAATATTATCTATTGCTTATAAAAGAAACCAAACACTTTATAATATCTTTCAATTCACTTTGGTAGCTACCCTCTTGATACCCAATAATAACCTACCCAAATTGCTTCCCAGCAATGCCATCGCTAAACACAAATATAAAAAACTATCAGCCTTTGTCATTAAAACTATTCAAGATTTAATATCAAGACAACAATAAAGCAAAGAGTTAAATATTGTCCTTCATCTGTAACCATTACTCATGTGAGCACAAACTCAAACAGCCAAATACAGCTTTAGCTCGGGTGAAAACAACTACACGAGTTGTTATACAGGAAACTGAAGGTGCTCCCTATAATAGCAATACCATACAGTTACCTTTCCCACTATACAAGGAAAATAAATTATTTAAATCAAAGCCATTGAAGCCACCTAAGCAATTCACCCCACCAATGCCCAGAAAGAACCAACTGTGTTATACCCATCATCCGAAACCAAACCCATTCAGCTACATATAGATATATAACATCTATATAGTGTAATAACACCACAAACAATATTGTTGGGATAGAAATTTTAGTGCGTCTGACCTTGAACGTGTGAGAGAGGCAGCCACCAGCTGACTGCGTGTAGCGACGTCTCTTAGTGCCTGAACTAACTATGTCAGCTTAGTTGTACTGTTGTGGTGAACAAAACATGTAGATACTTACACATAACATCTGTATATAGTGAATAAAAGCAAATACCCCCCCCTGTACAGTATGGTGGGAGGAGAATGTGGGCGAGTGAGGTGGTGAGGGAGTGAGTGGCAGCGAGTGGCTGGCTGGTGTGTTGCAGTCACTCCTCATTGCTTTTTGACTCATAATACCAAGTTACTGGTTCGTTATGGTGAATAAAACATGCAGATACTTATATATAACCTGTGTATATAGTGTAATAACCGACAAAGTATTTGTTCACTGTTTGATGAACATAATAATTGAATCAACAATATGCACACCATAATTTTGAGTACAGCGATGATTCACACATTTCATTATATAAATATATCACACTACACACTTTTGAATAATATTACAGCAAAAAAATTAAGAAAAATCAATCAGAGACATTGAAATAATTAGATATTTATCTCTTTGCAGCCACTCCTGCCTGACAGCTGGGGAGGAACAGACTGCCTGGGACGCATTGATGAGTAAGCACCTGTTTTTTGCCAGACTTCCCCGCCCTATAGCGGCCAAAATATGCCACTTACGATTTTTTTTTATTATTTTTCCCATAATCAGAGAACACAAATTAACAGGTTTAGAAGAAATAATATATATATTTTTTGTTACGCACCTGTAGGTGACAATGGCCAAATAGCCTTTAGCAACACAAGGGCTAATCTAACAAGTAATTTTAATCTTTTTTTTTTAATTATCAGGGGAAAGTGCCAAGTCATTACGAATTTATAGCACTTGGAAGGGGTCAGGATAAGGATTTGGGATGGGATGGGGGGTAAGAATGGTGCCCAACCACATGGACATGCGGGAATCAAACCCCAACCCTGCAGTAAGCGACGTCGATGCTTTACCGACAAGTTCAAGTGGGAGCTCCCAATAATGACCTTTGCTGACACAACCTGACCTAATGCAACCTGACCTGACCAATATCCTTAAAAATATTTTGTTTATATTATTGCCTATTTGATAAACTTCTCATAAACAATTTCAGTGAAACACTTAAAACTTCTAATGTACCGTACCTTCTAAATCACCAAGACAAATTACACAAGTTAAAAATCTTGTTACTCAACTATGTCAACACGGACTCACCTCCTATCCATTGTGTTGTTAGGGTCCATTGCACTGCCAATCTGGAATAAATCAAATATATTAATGTTTTGTATTGCAATGTATGCCATCGAATTATAATACTGTACAAATTATGCCCCAAAATGTTTCCCTAAGTAATACATATCTTCTGATCCAAGAATGTCATGATCTTTTATTCATATTACAAAACAAATCAAATCATTTAACATATACAATATGGGAAATTACAGTCCAAAATGAAAGAGCAGTTATGTCCTCAAATAATTTATGCAAGCAATAGCTACAAGTCTCCCTACAACACACACCTCTGTTTTAGTCACTGTTCCTCTATCTACAGCACAACGCAACAAGCACCTTTGTAACTCAGATCATCCTCAACATCAATGCGTCCACCAACATCTGTACTGGTGCATTCATCGGGAGGACAAACCCTTCATGCAAACTGCACCTACTATCAACAAGAAGAAAAGAAGATATTGGACCCAAAACTACAGCCATACAACATGATGCATTCCAGGCTGTGTACCACACTAAATCTGTGATTTGTGTTATATATACACAATGAATGCAAGATAAGGGCCTATTTTATTTCTGTGCTTCATGCAATGATAATTGTCATTAACTGTCACATTAGTAACGCGCATAAAATAGAACAGCTACATGCTAGACTAAAAAAACAACCATTCTAGTTTTTAACAGTCAAAACTTGAGAATCTCAGAAACGCAACTGCTCCCGCCAGGCTTAGACCTAGCTCATTCACATTTTTTTTTATTGATATAAAAAGCCAAAGTACAAATCACATAACAAGAAGATAAAAAAAAAAAAAAATACAAAACCACATGGCACAGGAAATAGACAAAATACATCATATGAAAAGCAAAAAGAACATTAACAAATCATGAACATAAAGACAAATACAGAGGAGCACAAGAACACGCAAAAGGCATGCGCCTCACACCAGAAAAAAGGCATAAATAATAAATTTGGTACAGAGGAAAAGAAGAAGCCCACACACGAGCCAGGAAAGAAACTCACCCACACACATCAAAACCACCCCGATGGAAAACCGGATTTTTTTTAAAACAACAAAACAATCGTGCAAACAGGAAACAGACATAAAATACACACAAAGGGACACAGCAAAGCACACAAGATACAAGCAAAGAAACCGCATAAAATACACAACAAATAAATTTTGGCAGGGCTGAGAAGAAATACGTTTATTCAGAGAACTTGTAGCGAGTAGATTATCCCAATAATATACTCGCTCCAAATATAGTGTTAATGTTCCTGTCAAGCTTTGGAGATGAATGAGGTGAGGCGTTGCCCGGGCAACACGGTGAGATGCCCGGGCATATAAGCAGCAATAGCAAACATTAACCGTAGTCTACTTTCAAGTGTGGTCTAGAGCAGACACTTGCGAGATACTGTACCAACGCTCAGTGCGCTCAACTCACACCAACGTATCACCTGTGTACTTCTGTATATTCGACCAAATATATATATAGTATCTTAGTGTCTGTGTTTATTTGTCACCATACTTTACGTAACAATAGAACCGTTACATTGGTGACCCAGTGAGTGACAAAGAACACCTAGTCACAAACTAGATCTTCGCCATGGATTTATCTACCAGGTTTCCAGCATACAACGCAGATGAGCCAGAATTTTGGTTCATGCAGATGGAGGCTATTTTCGACCTTCACGAAGTTTCGACGATACCCAGCCACGATGGACTACAACATGGACTCTCACTGGACCTCTAGTGCTACTGTTTGCTGTGATGGAATACTGCCAACACCCTCGCCACAGCTATGATTTTCATCGCGTCCATCTCTGCAGTTTCATCTACTACGGCTTGCTGCTCCACGATCGTTACGCACTCATCTGACAGCCTCATCAATGATTACATCATGCTGGATCTACAGCTTGTCCTGCCGACTCTCCGTCGCTGCCAGGGCACTGCTTGTCCTACGCCCACGACAGCTGCTCTGTCATCAGATTCATCTCCACGTTCACTGCATTTTGATACTCAGCCGACTCAAGCCCTTTGTGCAATACAGGACTTACAGCTTGCGTTTCCGACTCTTCGTCGCCTCCAGGACAATTCAGCTCTAGCAGTGATTACCTCGTTGTCCTAACTACGTGCCTACATTACCTCCTAATGTCCTGGTGCCCGAGCCCATCCGCCCCGGATCTAAATGCTCCACCAGCGACCCAAGGACGCAACAATTATGCACATTCTTCTCTCCTGCTACACCGAGCTTGTCCACACACTGCCTACGTCTTTTAGTACCAGACTACAATTTCCAGTCAACAATGTAGTTCTCGGCGTGTACAGTCCTAATCAACCCAAGACGCTACAGCTTCGACACAGAGCAGACAGCAGACTACGACCGCATCGAGCCGCCACGCTCTCGCTCCCCGAGTTTAGACACTCACAATTCTCAATCGAGCCGCCACGCTCTCCCACATAGAGCTCCACGACTCCGGCCTCACTCAGCTCTCTGCTCTGCTCCAGGCTTCGTCTCAACGTCTGCAACACTGCTAAATCCAGAGACACATCCGCCGACTACGCAGTTCATTTTTTCGACCACAGTTACCAGCAGCACCGCCACCTACGACAACGGACGATCCTGACGTACGACCTCCCACCCTACAACCCCAGTTACCAGCCGCACCACAACCTGATCCTGCGACGACGGACGATCCTGTGCGACCTCCCACCCTACGACCCCAGTTAGATGACATCAGCGAAGAGGAGGAAGTTAACTTTGATGGTTATGTAACGCGAGCAGGGCGTACAATTCGCCGACCAGCTAAGTTCCTTGATCAAGTATTTTTCCTTTCATCCCCTGGGAGGGGGAGTTCTGTAGCGAGTAGATTATCCCAATAATATACTCGCTCCAAATATAGTGTTAATGTTCCTGTCAAGCTTTGGAGATGAATGAGGTGAGGCGTTGCCCGGGCAACACGGTGAGATGCCCGGGCATATAAGCAGCAATAGCAAACATTAACCGTAGTCTACTTTCAAGTGTGGTCTAGAGCAGACACTTGCGAGATACTGTACCAACGCTCAGTGCGCTCAACTCACACCAACGTATCACCTGTGTACTTCTGTATATTCGACCAAATATATATATAGTATCTTAGTGTCTGTGTTTATTTGTCACCATACTTTACGTAACAATAGAACCGTTACAAACTAGAACCACTATCAGGGGAAAGCACCAAGCCCTAACGACTATATAGCGGATAAAGATTGAAGAGGTGGAGTGATGATAGGAAAATGACGGGTAAAGAAAGATTTACAAGACAGAGCAGAAACACTGGCGGTTGGCGGCATAGGAACACACATAGACTTAGACTAAGATTCTGGTGGACATTGACATAGACTAAGATTCTGGTGGGGCCAGACTCACGAAGCAGTTACACAAGTACTTAGGAAAGTTTTCGTTCTTACCATCGTCGTTTCGGATCCATCGAGATTCAGGAAGGCTTTTAAGATCGCCGATCTTCCTACGTATTTCCTTCCTCGCACCACGACGCCTCCAGACCAGCCGTAGCTTTACGTAAACAGTACACAAACTAGTTGGTCTCTACTACACAACCCGAGGATCCATTGTCATAATAAACACAACATTTTCTGCTAGTGAATCCTTCCTTTTAGCTATATATATGCAGTTTCTGCTTGTAATTTGTAGTAAATATGTTTTTTGTATTAAATGATAATTAAGTTTACTATAGCAAGATACTAGTTGGTCTCTACTACACAACCCCGAGGATCCATTGTCATAATAAACACAACATTTCTGCTAGTGAATCCTTCCTGTTAGCTATATATATGCAGTTTCTGCTTGTAATTTGTAATAAATATGTTTTTTTATTAAATGATAAATAAATTTACTATAACAAGATACTAGTTCGTCTCTACTACACAACCCCGAGGATTAATTGCCATAATAAACATTTTCTGCTAGTAAATCCTTCCTTTTACCTATATATATGCAGTTTCTGCTTGTAATTTGTAATAAATATGTTTTTTTATTAAATGATAATTAAATTTACTATAGCAAGATATTATTCCAGTAGTTATTAAGTAAACATCATATAACTAGTTCGTCTCTACTACACAACCCCGAGGATTGAATGTCATAATAAACAACAACATTTCTGCTGGCGAGTCCTTCATGTTAGCTATATATGCAGTTTCTGCTTGTAACTTGTAATAAATATGTGTTTTTATGAAATGATAATTAAATGTATCATAGCAAGATATTATTCCATTAGTTATTAAGTAAACAAACATTGGTGAACATGAAATATGAGAGTAGGTGATGATCCCAGGAGGGACAGGAATGCTTGGGAGTTACTATCACCTAATGCACCTGTTCACCTAGCAGTAAGTATAGCTACTTAGGAGTTAGTCAGCTTATTGTGGGGTTGCATCATGTGGGGGGTCAATAATTTCCCTTTTTATTTTGGGGGGCCTCGATACAGGCCTACCATGTATATAATTAATAGTAATAATTGTATGCAGTAACTAGACAGGCAGCCAGTGTATATATATATACAATGTTAGGCTTATATCGAGGTCGCCCCTCCATCCCAAAGGTCAAATTACTGACGCTCCTAAAGATGCAACTTCACAACAAGCTGACTAACCTTTGGGTGCCCACTTACTGCTAAGTGAACAGAATGATTAGGTGATAGGAAATGCACCAAACCATTTCTGTCCCGCCCAGAATTCGAACCCAGAAATCTCGATTGTGAGTCAAGAACAAACCCGACTGTACTACCAGATCCCCTTATATATACACTTTGGCTGTCTGTCCCATGACACAAAGAATTATTAAATAAATTATTTCACACTTCATCAGCACAAGCAGGAAGGCCCTTCGTTGGTTTGCAATGCTAACTAAATCCTTTGTAATAGTCTAATTAGTATTAAATATGTAATTTTAAAAAATTTAAAATATCACAGCATATATAAGTTAGTATATTATTTGATTAATAAATAAATATAAGCTGCTTAACATGATAACTAAACCAATCAGTAAGATTTTTTTAATATTATTTTAACTACCATAAAATTGTACTGCGCCCACAATGTCAATGCTACCAATAGGGTTAGGGCCAATGGATTGGCCCTAACCCTGCAATGGAATGTATGCCCAGGGTATGCCTAGGCTTCCATTGTTTCTAGTCTTGGCCTGGAAGGAGGGTGGGGGGGACGGAGGGACAAACCTAAAGGTATCTGTAAAGGTAAAGGTGATGGTCTGGCCATCAAACCTAAAGGTAGGTTCCGTTCACCTGGTCTCTATGGGACTTGAACTGTGGACCCTACACGTGTGAAGCCGAAGCCCTATCGACTGGGCTACGAGTAGTCTTTATAAGGAAAGTTTTCAGAAGCAACATCCTGCTGCCAAACTGGAATTTTCAACTTCTCCTGACTACTACTTTAGCTCAGATGAATTAGTGATCCACATCCACGTCATAAATTGTCATCCACACTTCCGTGGAAATAAACATTTCGGCCTCACATGCGTGGGGTCCATGATTCAAGCCTCTTAGAGCCCAGATGAATGGAATGTTTATTTCCACGGTGGATGACAATTTATATTTTCTAAAGGGAGGTGTTTGTAGAGTAATAAATACTGGGATGTTGTCTGAGCCCACATTCTTGCCTGGGATCACCTTGAAATGGAACAAATCACAGTCCCTGTTGGTCAGTGTGATGTCTGGGGTACCCCTTGCATTACCTGCAAAGAAAGTCTTGAAGTGTTGGCCTTGGAAGGAGAGGTCCTGGTTCTGCATTAAGGTGAAGAGCTGTCTACCCTTAAGTAATTGTAAAAAGGCACCAAGTCGGGAAGACTATGTAGCACCATGAAATGTGCTGGATATTCAAAAGGCACTAAATATCACTACACTAAATATCAATACAAGAATAAAAAGAGTATAAGGGGAACGATATCAAAGGTATCCGATTCACAGAGGATTCTATCAAGGAACGAGTGACCGTGAGGAACTGTCGGAAAGCAAAACACTTGCATGTCCTGAAAGTCAGGACATTCAGCAAGGATATGCAAAACTGAGAAAGTGGGAGAAGGCGAGGAGAAGAGGAAGGCAATGCACAAGCATAAGACAAGTCAGAGAAAGAGGGAAGACGGCATACTTGGCATCTCTCCTCAGGAAAAGAAAAAATGATTGCAATGTTTCAAGTTGAGTATGGCTTCCTCAAATTTATAGTGCATACATGCGCAGGAGAAAGTAGGATGGGCATCACCGCAATTGATACAGTGAGTTTGGGAAGAAAAGCACTGTCTTAGAATGACCCGAGTCTCCACACAAGGGGCATAGAAACACCTCACTTTTGCATTTGAAGGGATCATGCCCAAATCTCCAGCACCTATTGCAGAGGTGAGGAGAGGGGATATACTCCTGAACGGAGCATCTGGAACCAGCAAGAATTACGTTAAGACACTTACCATCAAAAGTGATCTTCACTACACGAAAGAGGCTGACAACCACCACCACGAGGGGGTTGCGTGAACGTATCAATCTGGAGGATAGAATGGCCTTGGACCTCAAGAATGTGTAATATTCTCGTGGCAGTCTTTCAGTTCCCTATCACCAGGCTCAATATGGTGCGGGAGAATAACTGTGCCAATGCTGCCATTTAACCGGGCATTTTTAGAGATCCAAACTCCAATGGATCTCCCTAATGCAGGACAACAAGGCTAAGTGGTCATCTGCTTCCTGAGAAGGGGCTGCAACGACACATGTACCAGTACGAGTGGGGTTAAATATGACATATCCACCGAATCAAATAAGTGTTTATGGATGAATAAATCATCAGAACGTACAGAATCAACATAACTGAAATCAAAATACTTAGTCCATGTAACAGGACCAAACAAAGCTTGGAATGTATTAGAACTGGAAGGAATCGTGCACAACAGCTGTGGAGGTGACAGGACCGAGCACCCCCAGTAACGGGGCAAAAGGGGGGGGGGTAAAAGGCACAGTTGTTACAATGAGAGAGAGGCAGCCACTCCAGGTGATGAGGTGGTCACCACTGGGGGCTTGGGGCTCAACCCTGTCACAGAGGTGGGACGGGAGCAAGGAGGGGTAGTCAGGAGAGTCAGAGAAGCAACTTGGTCTGGGCCCAATGTAGCGAGGGCTACAGAGCCCGGCCTTCCATCACATTCCGACTCGGTGGATTGGTCGCCCACCCTACGAGTCTGAGATAATAAAAAGATGGCCAGATATCGGCATATAAATGAACAGGTAAGAATTTCATCCACTAATAAGCCCCCATACACACCATGGAGTCACAATTAGAGGATAGGACACCCAACAAGACTAGGCCCCCCACAGGTGCATCATGGATATACGCCCTGCAATTGCCACCTTAAAAACTGTCAGTCCATCAAGATCGGGCTCGGCAACAAAGGCAAAGATTGACAATAAAACCGTGCCCCTCACTCGACAACGTCGGGTACCACAGTTATACAGGTGAGTGTGTGTGCCTCCCCAAACACCCGGCATCAAAACAGAAAAAGACATCTGAAAGAATAATCAAGCATGGCAAAAAGTCGGCAGGAAATAACAATCAGAAAGGAAAAGAGGGAGGAGGAAAAATAAGTTATAGGGAAAAGGCATTCAGCACAATTTGTGAAGATGGCAGCAGGAGCATAAGGCTTATAAAGGACAGAGGACTGTCCCATGGAGCATCACACTCCAGCGGCCACCCACCAAGCCCCCTTATGATGGCAACAGGCTGGAAAGGGAGGGTTTTATTAAAAAAAAAAATCTTCCTGCTACCAGATACCTATCATTATACTGTCCTCAATGTCAAGTGATAAAAATACAATTTTTATTGGATATAATATTTATCAAAACATGAAAATTACAAAACACAGATTTCATTATTATATATTATCATAACAACAAAATAATGTCAAATAAGTACACTCATAAATGTTACAAGCCCTTCTAGAATTGTGTGCTTTTTTCCAATACAACAAAACTTCAAATCTTAAGCTATTGTAATTGTCTTGCTACACCTGGCTGCTCACTTCACTGAAAATTTTTAGAACAGTGAAATATATACCCATTACAGTATATACAATACATTTAATTATGCCTATTTCTCTTTATTTCATTAGACAAGACAATCCAGTACTTTCAGTTCAAAACTCGGGTCAAAAAATATCCTCGGAAATAATTGGAGGATCTTCAACAAGTAGTCAGCTTCCTGTCCCTGTTGAGGCTACTAGAGATGCTGGCCCTTGGGTAAATTATGCACTTTTGCAGATAAATTCTAAACTCTGCAAATGTTGTTAAATACTGAGATGGCTGATAACCCACATGTAACAAGCCCAAATCATCCCCACCTGCCAATGCCAAGTTAAAACTCAAATAACATTTGTGTAATATAAATGGTAAGTTTAACTCACAAATTATACCGTTCTGTAATTCAAACCGGAAATTTAAGCAACTTATAACTGCATAAGCCAAAATTTTGGCAACAGGAAATATTCACCAAAGTCTTGTACTCCGTGTATAAAAAAAAAATCCCTCACATTACTAACTCGAACAAAACATGTGTCATACAGTGCACCCTTTAAAATCCAGGCTACCATATAATGACTCTTAAACAAATCAACTCCACCCACTGGATGTCCCCTTAAATTTTGAATTTCTGGAAAAAAAAAAACCTGTAATGACATGGTGAAATTCAGATCGTTGCTTCATCCCAACTAATTTCCATGA